TATGCTGCAATTTCTCTTATTGACTTGCCTTGTGATTTATAGGCATCAATCTGCTCTTTTTCATAATCAGATAAATTCTTTGTTCTACCCATTTTAGAACGTTGAACAACGTAAAAAATTTGTATTACAATTAGATATGTAAGCTGATTTGTATAATTCAATGCTTGAAACTAAACCATTTTCTATTTAACTCACGAAATGAGTGCCTGTCCGGATAAAAATGTAACAGTTTTTTTGTACATGATTTTGAAAAATATTATTTTCAGTGACAAAATGTTAATGTTTGATTGAAATTCTTATTTTGCAGTGTGGAAACAAGTAAATCCATGTTATTTTTAATAAAACATTTGTCATTTAATGCAGCAAATTTGGGTTTCACTTTAATTTTTTCGTGTCCGTATAAATTTGAAACACACCTTAGTACTTAAGTACGTAAAAATTTATTACATTTCATGTTGTACGAGGGCTTTACCCAATTCTCGAACCGTGTTAGAGTGAATCCGTGCTATAGAAGAGCCGTGTTATACGGGGGTTACCTGTATATATTAAGAAACTATTCGTATTTTAAAATACAAAGTATGTAAGTATTCAAAGTATTTACTAGAAGTAATAATTTGATCATAAATAATAATAGATTCTATATTCTTTATTTTTACTTTAATGTGATCTAATACTCTTTATGATGTGTAACCTTCGATAGTAGAATTAAAAAATGAATACGATTAAAACATATAAAGCATTTAAATTTAATTGTTAATTTAGAATATACAAAAATAGTATTAATAAGTTCAGTAAGGCGTCGAAAATCCGGACTCTAAAATATAAGATACGTGAAAGTTAGAATTTTAAGCACAGTACTGTAAACGCCAAATGTACTGTAATTTAAGTTTAGGTGTTCTAAGTTTAAGGCAGTATTTCACAAGGAATGCAGGAATACTTACAAAAATTCAAAATATACTTTTCAGAATCATTATATTTAAACAAAAAATGTACTAATAATTATTTCAAAATTAAAAAATTACGAATTCTGAATGAATGTTAGAGCATGAACAAGATAAGAGAGAAAGAACGTCAACAACGAAGTTACCATTGAAAGGGTTATTTTATATCCATTTTTCTATTGCCGAATCCGGATTTTCGACATTTCACTGTATTAAACTTATTATAATTTTACTTCAGAAATTTAATATTGGAAATCCAATATTCGACAACGGATTGGTTATTTTGGGAGATGAAGATTGGGAAAGAATCCGATGTATAATGAGCCCAACTTTTACTAGCAGCAGAATGAAACAAGTAAATAAATTCTTACATCTTTTCATTTTAACTTTTTGTTTTAATTTTCCAGTAATAATTAATAAATTCAATTAATCTGTGGAGATGAATAAGTGATGCAAGTAGTGAGATTTTTTTGAAACGATTTAATATTTATAACCATTTAGAAAAATAATGGATACTTAAGCATCTCATAAGAAGGTAGCTTCTTTTAATAAATGCTTGATATGAAACGATATTGAGTATACTAAAATTTATTTATATAGTGATCAACTTTGCTTTTACTGTTTTATATCTAATTTATTTTAAAAGATCATAATTATGCCATCTGCTTTTATCATTTGTTTTACAAAAGTAATAATATACAGGGAGGGTGTCCGGCTTATGAGTTTAATAAAAGAACAATTTATAATTTGCATTGTATTTTTATCGCACTTGTAATCAGCTTATATTTTATGTTGATATTTGTAGCCATTTATGAGAAATGCCATTTTTTGGCGCTGCGATTACTAACACATGAGCAGAATAGCAAAATAGATGCTCCAGTCACTGCATGTTATCACCTGGTCAAGTTATTTATACATGCTGCAACTTATGCTATCCTTCAACTTCCTCCTGGCATCATTGTTCAATAAAGACATTTTTTAGGGAGTATTCCAGACAGTAGATTGGTTCTTATTCCACTAAACTTTTTCCTGTGAGATATTGTAATAATCAAGAGTATTATATATCTGTGCATAACTTCAATGATGTGAGACAGAATCTCTCAAGCTATGGACAATGTCACGCGTCGTATGCTATGAAATCCGTGGATAAAGTAGAATACAAGTTGGACATCTGGTTCGCCACTGTTGACGCACATATTTAAGTCTGTTTGAATGCAAAAGAGAATCGACAAGAGTTTTTTGTTACTAGAAGACATTTTCATTATATTGTTATAATAACTTTTAAATTTACACGCGTTTCTTTTATTAGACATCTAATCCGCACACCCTGAATTTGTATGGTTTGCATGAAAATATACATGATCGCAACTTTCTAATTTTTTTTTAAATATACGAATTTTGTTGTTTTTAAATAACTGATTTATATTATTTATTTCCATCTGTTTTTGAGACTAGTAAACTTATTTTTATTAAACAAACAAAAACTTGAATTATCTCCAAAGTTCGAGGTTTTTCGTTACAATGAAAGTTATCATAGTATTAGTATCATATTTGTCTTATTAATTGAGTTATGTAATTTTGTTGTAAAATAGATAATTAAATTTGATGTATAACTAATATACTTTAAAAATTTTTCATTAGAAATAAATACAAAGATAAAATCGAAAATATTTAATATGAATAGTAATTTTTCAAGCTATTGAAATAACAGGAGTTTTATATAAATTTAATAACGTAATAAAAAATAATGTAATATATAGTCCAATAATAAATATATAATTTATAAAGAATTTATTAATTTTTTGCATTTATTAACGTAGAATTTTTTCAGATGGCATATTTAGTAAAAGAATGTGCGGAGAAATTCACAGAGAATTTGAAAAAAATGGTTTTATCCAATGAAAATCAGTCTATCGATTGTAAGAGGTAAATTAATTATAGCTCTTAGTATATTATGAATGAATTAATAAAATTCTATTAATTTAATTTAGTTTTAGTAATTTTAGTAATTTTATGAAAAATTATATGTAAAATTTTCAAAATCATTATAAACAGATGCTATGAATTCAGCACAATTTCAACATATTAGAGATGAAAAATATTTTCACTATTAACATAGTCTGCATAACTTCTATCTCTACTTGACTTTCAATGCAATCGATTTTTTAACAGAGATGGAAAGAATGACGCTTCGATTCTAGTTGTTCAAGATAAATTATTATGATTGGGTTTATGGAACCCATGAAAACGCGAAATTCTTCCGTTGTGATCCGTTCTACTGTAATTTATATCTTACGATTGAACGAGAAGTGATAACAACCCGGAGAAGATTCAAAAAAGTGAAATTCAGAGGAAAAAGGACTCTAATCTTGTCATAAGCCGGACGTCTGTTCGTGTGGACCGTGACACAGACGCTTACGGTTTAATTAGAATAATACTGAAGTTTTGTTTATTTTACTAAATTAACAAACAGTGCTTATATTCTGTTTATTTTTATAAAAGACAACATATAATAAAATAAGGATCGACCACCGAACGGGCATTTGTTCGGTGGTCGTTCCTTATTTTATCCGGAAATTCCTGATTTCCTAGTGGACCAGTTCCCCAGTGATCATATATAATTAGGAGATTGAGCGAAAACAATTCTATTTACATTCGTTACTCAATTATCTTACCTGTCGTCTTATGCCCTTTTTGTATTCTTCCTTGCTTTTCGTATCCTATCGTCGTTTATGACAGATCGAATTTTTAAAATAGCCAATTAGAAATAGAAACGGTATGATTTATCATCCGAATACTTCACGAGGAAGAACATGAAACCATGTAAGCTACTGAATTACTCTGGATTTGGTCGCTAAACAGACTGTTCGATTTCACGGCCAGAGCCAACAACAGAATCATTCAGAGAGGTCCTGAATTACGTAAACAAACTCAAGCAGTTTCATATCAATAGAAAAGACACAGTAGTGAAAAAACTAGCATGCATAGTCTAAAGCAGATTGCTACAGTCAATTGTAGAAACACAAATATCTGAATATTTTTAAAAGTAATATTCATCATTTTATGATTATTCATCACTCATATGTTTAATTATTATTGTTTTCATGGTGTGTATTATATGTTTGTAAAAAAAAAATGGTACAGGCTACATTTAAAGGTATTTTTCAAAACCTCTATCGAGTGAACAGATCTCTAAAACGGACAGTTTTCGGTCTTGAAGCTGTTCTTCAAAAAGAGGTTTAACTATACTATATATCTGGCATATAATCATGTGAATAATTATATGCCAGATCATCGAAAATTAATATTTGTCATTCGGAAATAAGTCTTTTTTATGGCTTAATTTTGTGGACCTTTAGCTGCAAATTACTTGTAGAGCAATGAATACTATAGATGTATATCTAGAGTGGGTACTATAGTTTTTTGTATTTTGTATCCAAGAAATTCGATACGTTTTAAATATTTTTAAATTTTTATATAATTTTAAGAGGAAGTTTGTCCATATGAATTAGTTAATTTAAAGCTTAAAACAATTGTTTATACTCAAACAACAAGTCAAACAACATAAATGTAATACAGTTTTATTTTCAAATACAGTATGTTTTAAATGTAAAATAAATAATGATTGTAATTTAATTATTTACAGTTTATTATTAAGTATTTATTTTATTGATGTAATCGCTTCCACTGCATTTGGAACAAAACTGAATTCTTTAGAGGATCCACATAACAAATTTGTTTCAAAAGCAAGAAAGGCATCTAATATAGATGGTTCTATTCTCCTTGCGCTTTTCTGTAAGCCTAATTTATTAAATTAAGTTTTATTTAAAAAAATTCTATAATTTCATTAACTTTTTAAATATTCAGCAACTAATTTCGATAACACAATTAAAAGAATTTTTATTATTTATTGATGTTTATTAAAACTTTAATAAAATAATAATATAAATTGTAATTCGTTTGAAGTTTTGCATGAACATTTTTTTTAGGATTTATATTTTGTCGCCGTAAGGGATTATCACTTGAATATAATTAGGATTTTCGTCCACCCCTTATTATAGCAAAATTATGTGATAATCCAATAGTAATGCAAAGCCTCGTATAATATTTAATATACAGTTAACTCTCGGTATTCGGATATTTGGTATTTACGCTTTTGCTTATTCGCTATTGAAAAGTTGAGACCAACCATACGACTTTTCGTCCACTTACGTATCCACGACTTACTTTTACAATATTTCAGTATTTGTAAGAAACGAACTCCGTAATACCGTATTTTTACATTTTTTGACACAACTAAGCAAACTTCAGTAACTAGTGCACTACCAAACTCAATCACCGCATTTAGCAACAATGTCTTCTGCGAAATCGTGCTTTACACGACAAAGTTTATCCCACAATTACGTAAATACAGTATAAATTATACTGTATTTACATAATTAAGTATCGAATACCCATTCTACATTTAACATAAGTATCTATTGATTTGATTTAATAGACTTGTGCTAAGGCAATAGACGGATTAAAGCATATTTAATTAATTTATTTTTATGCTTCGGTTAGATATATACAGTATATTCTTTAGGTTATTTTGTAATGAATTGGAAGGTCTAATTTAAATTTTACTGTTTTTATGGTTACCTATCGAATTTTATATCAATGTAAATTAAACTTTAAAAACGTGCCCCACATCTAGAGATGCAAGTTAGCACTACTCATTTGATACTCCACACTAATAAATCACTACTTGTAGGCCTAATGTAAAGACGCCATCTCTTATGTCGAGTAATGTCTACCTTTAATAATGTCTACTGTCTAATGTCTAACTTTAGTAGCAAAATACTTAGTATTAATTATTAAAAATAGCATATTTCTAGTCCGAGTATTTAAAACGATCGTTTGTCTACGTATCTATAATGATTTTAACATAATTAAACATTTAAAAAATTGACAGGACGAATTTAGATTTACAAAAAAATATCTCTTGGTAGATTATACATACTGGATGAGTCTATTTTATTCAGTTCTATTTCTAATATATTAGAAATATACTTTTGTAAATAATTAAGCATATTAATAAAATAAACCTTGGTTTTTATTTGTTTATTGAATCATATGTAAAAGTTTAAATATTATATAAACAATAATATGCTTCAGTTCAGCCAAATTGGATCGACCCTCAGAAACTTAACTCGGTTTTTACTTAAGTATTTTTTTTTTTTTTTTTTGGTATTTTCAACGAATGTAATCCTCGCGAATATCGTGAGTTAGCTGTATCTTAATATAAGTTGTAGTTTTAAAATATCACATAGTAAAATATATGATTCGTATAAAATAAAATTGATTTTTAATTTATTTTAGTTTTATTTCCAAAGATAATGAAAATTTTCAAAGTAGATCCTTTTGCTGGTACAATCGACTTTTTCAAAGAATTTGCTTTACATGTTATGAAACGACGTGAAGAAGAAAAGACGGTATATTTTATTTCTAATTTTCAGAAGCAGTTTCAATTTTACTATTATTATTTATATTATAGTGGTGCCTTGTACTTCGAATATAATTCGTTCCAGGAGGCCAATCAAACTCTGAATTGTTCGAAGTCTGAATTAACTTTTCTCATTATGAATAATTGAAAGTGAATCCGTTCCAGCCCTTAAAAAATTATCAATTTTGATAAACTTAAACACAACATAAGGTAAAAATAACACAATTACGTACCTTCAATAATAAATTAAAACGTAAAAATAATAATAAATAAAATACGTAAATAGCGCATAATAAAATGAAATGAAAATCGCATTTTCTCTACCTTAATGAGAAGTGATGTTATCCTGTTTCTTAATTAATTACGGTGACTATACACCTGCTTGGCTTTCTCATAAATAATCCTCTCGGAGGTGATATCATCAGTCAATTGTTTGCCATTTATCCACAATAGAAGGGAGTTTTTCCGTCTCCTCGATTATATGCGATTTCCTAGAGGTTAACGTAGGAAGTATCGGAAGTTGACCGTCTGTCTCTCTCTAATCTATCGTCTCTTGCAGAGTAGATTGTTTGACAATCGAGGCAAATGAGTTCGAAATTTTGTTCGTGAACCGATTTGTTCGAATAGCGAGGTTTGACTGTATAACGAAACATTAAAAATAAAGCGAAAAAAGCACAGAAAACACGATCTTAACGCGAGATATATTTTCTAGGGACGTCCCGATATTGCCGATACAGATACCGGTATCAATACTTTCCTCCCACTGATTTCGTTACATTTTTCATAGACAGGTAAGATTCTATCAAAATTGGATTATACAGACCAGTGTTTCTCAACGGGGGCGATATCGCCCCCATGTGGGCGTTTTTCCATGTTCAGGGGGCGAATAGCAACAATTTATATTTGTGGGGGGGCGAAAAACAATTCTCTGGGCGATATAGTAAAACATTATATTAAGAATAATTAGATATTTTATTCGTTATATCGTACAATAATTAAACAAATAACATTATACTTGTCACTAGTCTATTTAATGCAGTACGAATTTGGCGTTAACCTTGTCCCTCGGCATCGGAATTTTGTAGTGAAGGGGGCGACGATTCGTTAGAGGTTGAGAAACACTGATACAGACAAATCCAAAACCAAAACCAAACCTTGCACTATTTCTGGTTAAGTTAAACTTATATAATCAATATTAAAAACCAAAAATCAATAAACTGATTACAAAAAATTTCATTTTCAGAATCTATATAGTTTCACATTTCTCGGCTTTTTGCATGTCTCGGAGTGTAATTAATTGTTTTTAAGACATAAAATAAAACTTGAAATCGAATGATATAAATATTTTTTTTTTTAAGTAAATTAATATGTTCTGCAACCTCCAAAATAACAATGTTAATAATTCTGTGTGAAATATGTATAAAAAATTACTTTTGAATTACGTAGAAATTTTCAGAAATAGAAAAAATTTATTCAAGTTTGTTGGTAACTGCTTATAATTATAAAAAAAGCCTTTAAATTGAGTTGAAAATAAAAAAAAACAATAAATTTAGATCAAACTTCTTAAATAGAAGGTAATTTTCGTTTTTTAAATAAAACATAACATAAAATTTTATTTTAAATTTGTATAATAAGATTTTTAAAAGCAAAGATGGTCGATACTCCGATCACTCGATCTAGATCTTATTAAGAGAAGACGGATGTTATGTGTTTTCTCACCTGTAGCCTCGAAGATTAATAGTTCGTTTTCGAGATGCGTTGTAGTACTTCTTTTGCTCTCTAGTATTCTTGATTTGTTTACCTCGGCTGCTTTAATAGCGGCATCGAGCTTATAACCCGATAATTCGGCAGTTCGTTTGGCTTTAATAATTGTGTTTATGAAGAAAAACTTCTTACTCGCATACTTTGTACTTTTTTGTATCCTTGTCCAATTCACACAACCTGGCATAATGCAGTTATTGATGATACTGAGCATGGTTAAAAATTAACACAACAAAAACACAATTATTCCAGATATTACATGTTTTGACAAGTAAAGAATTTTCAGAGTCCTGTCACAAATAGGCTATATATTGACTATTAACAATCTGTGAAATGCCATAACAAGTAAAAATTTAAAAAACTAATAAGCAGACTTAAAACTAATAAACACAAATGTATTCTGACTCTTTATGGGTTAATTATACTTTCTATTTGCAAAATTTTCTCAGCTTTAATATGTGGTATAAGAAAAAAGTGAATTTTTAAGAAATTTGCGAGATTTTACTGAGTGAGAAAATTTTCCGGAATATTTCCCGGGTTAAAAACAGCCTGGATCCCGTTGAAGAAACCCTAATATAAAGTATGCTTAGAGTTCAGATTACTATTTATAAATAATTCACCAACTACTGTATTTGAAAAACTTGAAAATTTATTAAAATATCATAACAATACTGTATTCGTAACGTTCAGTTTATATTAGAAATCAGTTTTAATAATAACTATCTAGAATAAAGCATGTTATATATTAAAATTTTAAATTACACAAAACTTTTCCAAATCAAGCCACAGACCGAAGCGACAGCTGGCAAGATTTCCAGATTCGATATGCGATACCGATATCGTCAGGTATCAATACTTTAAGATCGATACCGATACTGGAATCGATCCTTCTGTGGTATCGGAACGTCCCTAATGTTTTCGCAGCGAAAGCGAGAGATGACTTGTGCAGACAACGGATGGCGTTAATGCAGCGATTGCATTTTTTCACTGCGTGCGCAGTTCGAATATAGAAACACCGTTCGAACTCCGGGTCGAATGTCTCTTGAATTTAGAGTTCGAACTCTAAAACGTTACATTATGGATAAATGGAAGTATAAGGTACAACTATGTTTACATTATTTGCCTTTAAAATTTTTATATGCTCTAAATTACGGTATATTCTAAATTGTTAGATTATACTATAATTTATCTTCATGCAGAAAACAGATGATTTTCTTCAATTATTAATGGATGCTCAGAAAGGCATCTTAGAAATTTCCCCAGAAGATTCTAGTGAAACGAATGATAAAGATGAATCCAATTTCAAAACGTTACCAAAACATAAAAGTATGTTGCTACTTATGTCTGTATATTCGTACATATGTGCTCTATGTGCATTGTTGAAATAAAATAATAAGTATTAAATTAATTACAGCTATGAGTTTGGATGAAATGCTGGCTCAATGTATATTATTCCTTTTTGCCGGAAGTGAAACAACTACCAATACTTTAGCGTTTATTATATATCACATGGCTTTGAATCCTGAATGTCAAAACAAGTTAATTGAAGAAATAGACGAAGTTAATAAGAATAATGTAAGTGAAGTTATAAATAATTACTTAATGATCTATATATTTATTAAATACAATTTACTTGACTATAAGAAATTTTCACTATTTTACATTAAAACTTATAAATAGGGTTAGCAAAATATCTTCCTACACTAAAAAAAATATGAGAAAATAGTTGCCTAAAGTATTTTGTATTTAGGAAGTTTATCAGGAAGCTAAAATAAAAGGTTGAAAATTTGCATAATTAAGTTTGAAAGATTCTAGTAATGTACTGTACAAGTAATTTAAAAATATGTATAATGAAACTAGCGAAGAAAAGTAATCTTTAATTTAACAAATCAAATACGCTAAACATGTGATATTGCAATTCTAATCTTTTGTCTATTTTCCTTATCATGTCTTAAGTCTGATGTCTTAAAATGGTAATTTTCGGGAAAAAGTTTTAAATTAAAACTTTCGTGAGAAAATAGGTAATTATATTATTTGAACAACACTGTGAAATATCATACTGAGAAATTGGATTGTTTTTCATTATAATGGAAATGTTGAATAAAATACATTTTCATATGCTAAAACTGTCAGTAATGATTTATACATTTATTTTCATTTTGAAATTAAATCGTTTAGGGTCTAATATAAATATAATATTTCAATTTAACTTTACTATTTCTTTTCAAAATGGAATTTTAATATTGTTTTATTTCAATTTGTTACATAAAGAAATATCAGTTTATATTTAAAATTAAAATTTAATTTAATTGAAATTTAGACTTATTTCAACCTAGTTTCATATTTGTTTTAAAATGTCACAAGCATAAATAATTATCATTATTCCTGAACCAACTAATTATATTTTTGAATTTTATAGAAAGAAATTAACTTTGATGTACTTTTTAAAATGCAATATATGGACGCTGTTGTCAACGAATCGTTCAGAAAGGAACCAATTGGAATACAGTAAGATAATATGAAATAATGAAATAGTTATATATAGTAATATTTAGGTACAGGTACCACACATTCAGCAAAACTCTTGTTAATGTTTTCCGGATATTTAGGCCTATATGTCAGTACAATATTTTAAACAAAACGATATGTTGCACAAGTCATGAACTGCATTACAAATAAAATTTCCAGAATGTCAGAATCACCAGTAACATTCACTGTTAACAGAGGAAATATGTATATAATTCGTCTCTGTAATCCAAAAATTTNTATTAATTAAATATAAAATTACTTACAGCTATGAGTTTGGATGAAATGCTGGCTCAATGTGTATTGTTTCTTTTTGCTGGAATTGAAACAACTACCAACACTTTAGCGTTTGTTGTGTATTACATGGCCTTGAATCCTGAATGTCAAAACAAGTTAATTGAAGGAATAGATGAAGTTGGCAGAAATACTGTAAGTGAAGTTATTGAAATTATACACATAATAACAATTACACATAATAATTTATAACAAATATATTAGGTCACGCATGAGAAACGCTGGTATAGATCATTAAGTAACTATTTATCTGACGAGTGGGTGAAACATCCCCCGCCCCAAAAAAGCTCGACAAGTTCGCTCAAATGTTTGATGTTAACTATTTTTTTCGATGCAAAGGGGTTGTGCATCACGAATACTTACCTACGGGCCAGACAGTCAACACGAATTACTACCTGCGGGTTATGAAACGCCTAAGAGACAGAATCAGGCGAAAACGGCCCGAACTACATAGTTACTTAATGATCTATACCAGCGTTTCTCATGCGTGACCTAATATATTTGTTTGTGATGATTCTGCAACCCAAGTGTCTATGAATTTTTAATAACACCTGGTAAACAAAAACACTTACTTCAATTTCAGTTTTTATTATTGAAAATTAACTAGTAAATAATGCAAGACTGATAATTGTAAATAAAACAGACTGTGTTCAAAATTATTCGGAAGTTTATTTTACTTTGAAAAATATTAAGATTTTTAATAAACTTTCATTAAATTACATAAATAATTTATAGAATATACAGATTGTTTTAATAAACTTACTTAAAGAACCTTTTTTAAATTGTATTTTNCCCCAAAAAAGCTCGACAAGTTCGCTCAAATGTTTGATGTTAACTATTTTTTTCGATGCAAAGGGGTTGTGCATCACGAATACTTACCTACGGGCCAGACAGTCAACACGAATTACTACCTGCGGGTTATGAAACGCCTAAGAGACAGAATCAGGCGAAAACGGCCCGAACTACATAGTTACTTAATGATCTATACCAGCGTTTCTCATGCGTGACCTAATATATTTGTTTGTGATGATTCTTCAACCCAAGTGTCTATGAATTTTTAATAACACCTGGTAAACAAAAACACTTACTTCAATTTCAGTTTTTATTATTGAAAATTAACTAGTAAATAATGCAAGACTGATAATTGTAAATAAAACAGACTGTGTTCAAAATTATTCGGAAGTTTATTTTACTTTGAAAAATATTAAGATTTTTAATAAACTTTCATTAAATTACATAAATAATTTATAGAATATACAGATTGTTTTAATAAACTTACTTAAAGAACCTTTTTTAAATTGTATTTTTCAAATTGTAAGATTTTGTCAATTTTATTTTGTATACACACACACTCACACACAACACACAACACACAAAAGAAATTTAAAAAAAACATTATAAATCTGCATATGCAGATTTATAATGTTTTTTTTAAATTTCTTTTGTGTGTTGTGTTATTAATGTTTTTTTTAAAATTTCTTTTGTTTTCTTTAAATTTCTTAATACTTAAAAAGATATTTCCTTCAATAAACAAGGACGTATTACAAAGCCATTGCAACTCAAATAACTTTATGACAATTACCTTACATAAAATATCTATTTTGATGTTATTCAAAACAGAAAAGAAAAAAATCATTTTTATATATGCAGATTCTATAATCTTAACTTTATTACTAAATGATAATAATAATTATAAGAAAAAAGTTATTAAATGTCTTCAGTACTTAACGATGCATCTATTGTTCTTAGTACTGTACTTGTATTATTAAAATATTCTATAAGTATTACAAGTATTTCTACGGAAGGTAGTATCATTTCGTGACCCATTAAAAGTTGAACACGGCCCAATATTGGGTCACGATCCATAGTTTGAGAAACAGTGATTTATACATTTAATAAATACATCAATTAAATTAAAATTGAAATTACATCTTTTTTCAACCTACTTTCCATTTATTTTAAAATACCAGAAGCGTGGATAATTATCATTCTTCCTGAACCAATTAATTATACTTTTAATCTTGCAGAAAGAAATTAATTTTGACGCACTTTTTGAAATGCATTATATGGACGCTGTTATCAACGAAACGCTCAGAAAGAAACCCGTTACAGCGCAGTAAGAAAAATTTTACTATTTATAACTAATACATTATTTAATATTAATTACAGACATACCCAACAGAACGTCTCTGGTTAACGCTTTCCGGATATTTAATTAGGAGAAATTTATATTTATATTTAAATAACATTTTAAACAAAACGTTATGTTGGATGAATTTTGAGTGTCATTCTAAGTGAAATTGGTACAAGCTCAGAATCACCAAAAAAAAAAAAAATGCAGTGAATATCAATGAAAATAGAGGGAATTTGCATCTCTTATGATGCTGCGCTGGAAAATATATTAAAGAATCATCTTCACAACACCTATGAATTCTGAACACACTCTTGTGACATTACTAACAGAAGTCAATCAATTTTTATATTTTCAGAGATATTGGACACATTGTTAAAGCTATGTTGTAAGTTTTTCTTGTTTTTATTGTAAATTTTTGTCTTCGTTTCTTCCAACAAAATTTTTTGTTTGTGTTTTATTTGCCAAGCTTCATCGTAAAACCAACGTTTATGGGATTTTTATGCAGATGTTGATTTTACTGCATGAAAGCAAATGTTTGTTAATAATACACATCCTTTACGAACCTTTCTATCAGTGAATATAATTTCATTAATTAAATTAAAAAATAATTTTATTTTTTTTTAATTTTGCTTTCTTTCTGCCTAACTAGCCAGTATTTTTTTTTCTGTTTAAATAAAGGAATGGCTGATAGGCAAGTATGTTTGTCATTCTTTCGTTTCATATTAGCTCCTTTTTTATCAGTAAATAATCTAATCAATTTTATTTTAATTTCATTTATAATTATTAAGTTGATAGTTACAATAAAGTAGACCACCCCTATAACCCGTAGATACGTTCCACGTTATACGAATTTCACGTTGTAAGAATCCTTAAATACATGAGCCAATCGTAGCCCGACACGTGTGAAGTTTACGGACTACGGCTGTTTGAAAGGTTTTCTTCCATAAAATTAATCGATTCTTAGCTAATTTCACTCAACATTTCCAAAATACGTATAATTTTTTGGGAACAATCCGTATAAACTATGCTATAAACAAAAAATTGTAGGATTACTTACCGAGTGTGTACCGTTCGACGACGCCATTGCTTAAGCTTGTTTTCGTCGCGGAGCAGCGCACCAAACGGCGGCCGCAATTTCTGATAAGTTATTTTTCTGCGAAAAATTCGTTGAACTTTGGAGACGTCATTAATATAAATAATTTTAATGGTCGTTGAATAAGAAATGTTTCTTTCACAATAAATGTATAAAATTACAGTACTGTATTAGACTTACAGTACCTAATTTACATACTGTACAGACGATAGTAAACTCAACTTACTCGCCTAAACTCTCCGTAGCGTGGCGCTGGACGGCGGAAAGTATATATATAATTATAATAAAGTTAAAATAAATTAAGTTAATATATAATTATATATACAGTACCTAATTTATATATAATACTGTACAGACGATAGTAAACTCAACTTACTCGCCTAAACTCTCTGTATCATGTAAGTGTTCGGCTGCTCGTCTACTATTGGTCCAGAGTCGACCAATCCTGTCGCGACACGAGTCGGCGACGACGTTTTACGAGTCCCCTTTTAGCGTTTTTATACGAATACTGTCGCAATTTTTTCGCCACGTTATAGAAATCTCCATTATAGGAGTCCGCGTTATAGGGGGTCTACTGTATTGTGTATTGGGGATGTACGTAGATTTTTTGCAGCACTTTATTATTATATATAGTGAATATAAATGGGTAACCGTATTATACCAAAACAATTTCAATCATAAAAATAACAGAAAATCTCATTCCTATTTACGAATTTATGAATTACGAGAATTTTTTCAGAAACTAAATCATGTACAGTGTAAATCGTTGTTAGTTGTTATAATTGTTTTATCATAGATTACAATGTTTGGTTTTATAAATAGCTAAATATCTTTATGATGAAGAAATATGTAAATATACTTGACACATTATTTGGGTATAACATTAAAAAAAGTACAATTAGTAATATTTTAATGGCCTGATATGGCGTATTGCATTCGAAAACTACAATATTATTATAGTATATCGATTTTCGGAAATTGATATTATGGAAATCAATATATCGTATTACGGATTTAAATTTAATATTTCGTATAATAAATTAAATATATCTTTTAGATTAATCAGAGAATGCACAGAAGAATACGAATTATCTGAAATATGCTTTAAAGTACCAAAAGGTATGAGTATCGCTGTTCCTGTTTATTCAATACATCACGACAGAGAATTTTATCCAAATCCAGAAAAATTCAATCCAGACAGGTAAGTCTGTAATTATTTTATAATCTATACCTATTGTTCATATATGAATCTTTACAAATTAATATTTACAAAACACTATTGTAGATTTCTGCCCGAGAATCGAAATTCTATTTTACCATATACTTATCTTCCGTTTGGAGAGGGACCGAGAAACTGCATTGGCATGCGATTCGCCATTATGGTAGTAAAAATGCTTGTATTTCATTTGTTCCGTGATTTTCGAGTTCTTGCAACGGAAGAAACAAAGGTATATTTGTCTTTAAACTTTTATTCGTTTTTCAACAATGAAAAATTGTTTCTAGAATTGCGTTAATTAGGGGAAGGTGGTGCAAGATGGGGTCATGGAGTAAAACGGGGACGTCTGTTTATTTATGGTTAATATGATTCTATCTAGCTGTTATTTGAGAACTAAATGTCTACCTCGAAAGAGATCACGGGACGAGAGAACGTCCGAATCGCTCTCTTTGTTTGGAAGTAAGACAGTTTTTCATGCTTCAGGAATACTTCATCTAATTTTATGCCTGCTAAAAAGTTTCTACAAAGTAAGTTTCAATGTGAACTTTTACATTACCTTTTAGATGAAGATCTTATGGTATTCCCAAGTAACATTTAAGACTGTAATTGTTTAGTTTTGAAATGAAGTTTACCTGTGTTTGCAGGCAGTATGAAAAGTGTACGTTGGGGACAAGATGGGATACCAGTCTAGACCCAGGTTGACCATGAATATGGCCTATGAATCCAGAAGTATTTTCGAAAGCAGACTTTATTGCTGCAGAGACGACGAACAGGCACTCTTCAGCAAGGGTAAGCCTAACAAAAGACAAATAACACAGAATGCCTTTATTGTGGAGGGTTATACTTTGTATCTACAAAGAGTTGGGCTAAGTGTAACCGTTGTAATAGAAAGGCACACTGTTCTTGTGCCAATATTGAAGAAAACGACAGTTTAACTATTTTAATTTGTCTTTCTTGTATATAAAAATAATATCCTTATCTTACCCCACGGGTGGGGCAAGATGGTGCATATACATATAATTTTAAATAATTAAATTTTCTTGTTTTTAAAAACGTTTTACAAGTATTAAATTTTGTAATATATATTACCAAATGTTGTTGCTGTGATCGCCATCTTATGACTTTTCAAATCTTAACGTTCTCAGCTTGCCCCACCTTTCCCTATATAAATTTACTCAAAATTTAATAAGTTTTTTTTTAATTTAAAAAAATCTATTATAATGTATAACGTAAATTACTAGATAATATTGACAAATATTATTTTAATTTAATTATCGGTCATTCTTTCACTAATTTTTTTTTCTTTTTTATGAAGAAACCTTTGGAATTCTTTAAAGGGCAAGGCGTAATTCAACCGAAGAAATTAATAGTTCAGTTAGAAAAAAGAAAATAAATTTTTAACTCAACAAAATTTCAAGTATAATCTAAAAATGATTCGTAAAGTAAACAAATATAAAATATTTTATACAAGAAACATATTAAATTAAAATTTTTAAATTTATTATTTCATCACTAATCTGTTTACTATACTATATAAAACGTTTTTGAAAATCTGCATTTGTGAGGTTTTACATATTGTAATAATGCTTTCACTGAAAATAAATATATTGACCAGACAGTCGCCAGGTAAGACATCAGCTTATTGGAGATTCGGATAAAAAGAGTATACTGTATATTCTAACATATTCCTATCGGAAGTTACGCGATGTCACACTTTAATACCATTCACAAAAAAATAGATTCGAACAAATNGTGATATAAATTGTAAAATACAAATTAATTTAATTGCTTTTAAACAAACTAAAGAGATAGGATTGGCCCATACATTACTTCTAATCAGAGAAAATTACACTTTCCATGCCATCTGGGAAAATTGACTTCCTAATAAATATTCACAACGTTTTTGAAAATCTGCATTTGTGAGGTTTTACATATTGTAATAATGCTTTCACTGAAAATAAATATATTGACCAGACAGTCGCCAGGTAAGACATCAGCTTATTGGAGATTCGGATAAAAAGAGTATACTGTATATTCTAACATATTCCTATCGGAATTTACGCGATGTCACACTTTAATACCATTCACAAAAAAATAGATTCGAACAAATAAAACGTAACCCTTATAATATATATTAAAAATCTCAACGTATTTTCTGAACGCATAAGTAATAACCAATATAATAATTTTTCGACTTATTTTTCAGGTAATATTAAAGAAAACTTTTGCTTTGACATGCATGAAATAAAATCATTTAATATTTGTAACGAAAATATGCAGGTAATAAATAATATATAGGCTATATACTGTGTGTTAGAAACCAAATATGAACTTTTTTCCTTTTTATTTTATTATTATTAATTTATACTGTAAAGGAAAGGAACGCTTGCGAAAATGATGACATATGCTCCTCTCGTAGAGTACTAGATTATACAAGCATAACAATCTGCCATTTTGAATCATAACGTTCGGTTAACCAAATATTGATAGATTCGTTTGCGTAAAATGTTTTATTATTAGTTAATTTTTTAAACTTATTATGTTCTTTTATTTTTTAATTAAATAATCTTTAATTTTTTATATTATGTTAACGGTTTAGATTAAAAAATAAAAAATAATAAACTCATGCAAAAATTTACTGATGTTCAGAAATTACACCGAATTATTACAATTTTTTTTATATAAAGAACTTTATTTAAATTATATCCGGGATTTGGTATTTTTATTTAGAGTTGTGTAAAAAAATTTTATGAAATGAATATTATTAATGTATATTGTGATATTATAATAAAATACAATATTAAATTTTCTGTCGTTTAATATTTTGTCTGTTTCCAAAACTTCGATGCGCTTTTCGTTTAATTTCTTTAAATTTACAAAAAGAAAAACCTCGGACAGATGTATAATGTAAAAGTAAATGTTTTGATCATATTACATGTTGGGATTCCCTGAAAGCAATTTATTAGTTTCAATAATAGTATTCATATTTAAGCTTGATGTTAGAAGATTGTAATTATGCTTCTGAATGAGTTCTTTAGTAATGACACAGTTTAAATGTAATGCAAAACACATAATTTAAACTACCTCCATTAGAGTATTTACTCACCAAAAAACTTTTATTTCAACCAGCAGCAGTTTAATTTTTTAATGTAAATTTGGTCAAACGTTTTCGACCTAATAATAACTCCTGCTGGTGGAATAAAATGATTTTTGATGAGTAGATTAAATTGTCCAGCTTTTGAAAGGTATTACGGAGCCATCAGAGTATCTTAATTTTTTTGAAGATAGATGTAATGTTTTCTAATTCTATGGTCAAAAATTTATAGGTTATAGCCTTTAATGCACTTCCGACAATATAATAAACACTGTATATTCAGAATTGAAAAACTAGAATTATCATCATTTATTAATAATGATTTCTGTTGTACTTTAGCTTGTACAGAATATTTTATTTTTAAATTTGAATAATTCAACAGAACTTTGTCACTATAACAAAAATAATTTGCATTTTTTGATGGTGATATAAATTGTAAATACAAATTAATTTAATTGCTTTTAAACAAACTAAAGAGATAGGATTGGCCCATACATTACTTCTAATCAGAGAAAATTACACTTTCCATGCCATCTGGGAAAATTGACTTCCTAATAAATATCCACAACGTTTTTGAAAATTTTTGGATAATTTTATAAAAGATAATGTTGTCAACAATAATCCAGTATATAAAGATTTAAGGTATTTAATAAATTGTTCTTCGAATAAAAATTCAGACAGGGTCAATTTCATATTTATAATTTCTTTCTTCATTGATTCATTTTCTTTTTTAAGATTAATTTTTTTTTTCAACTAAGAAATTGCTTGGAAATTCTTTTCTTCAATAATGAGGTTATCTTGGTGTGGTTGTATTCCATCCATATCTTATATAACAAATTATAGAGTTAATAAAGATAATGAAGTTTAATATATACAACTAAATATATTTATATAGTGAATTTAATTAAATTATAAATTTAAAAAACTAGAGATTAAATTACATTAAATGATATGTAAGTATGATTTAGCCTATAGTATAGATTGGTCTTGATAAATAACAATGTTGTTATATTAATGGAAGTAATATTTTAAGGTGTAAATAAAAAATTACTTTTTCCATGATTTGAAACCGTGTCGTATCTTTATATTATGCGTAATAACGATCACTTGTAACGATCGTTATTACGCTACATTGCGTTTATAAAACAAAAAAATTACTTATTTATTATTTGTTTGTATCACAGAAGTTATTTATTTCATACACGTTCTTCTTTCTACATTCTAGGACTCTAGGAATATTAGATACATCAAATAACGTAGGAATGGCATTTGCCGTTAATGCTATTCTGTTCAAATTCCTTTCCTCAAAGTGAACCTGTTATGATGTTCATAAAATTATTTTTAAACACTTCTTATTGAATCCATTTTATAACACTCCTTAACTTACTTTAACCTATATTATTTATTAAATTAAAATGCAAATTTACAAAGAAAACTTTTGAGTTATAAGATTCCCATTTTAGAAAACTGTTCCATTTTTATTAGATTTTAATAACATGATTCACAACTACGATTTTTTCGAAACTGTCATTGTGCACATGACAGACATATTTATGTTACATTTTCAAATTGAAACTCTTAGCAAAATTATATTTTAAGAACTGGATTAATTTTAGTAGTGAAATGAATTTACAAAAAATGTAAATACTGTATTTATATTGAACTTATCATTTCGGCTGCACATAAATTAACAGAAATGTAAGTTACCGAATTTCTCGAATATTAAATAACAACATAAAAATAAAAAGAAGAATTTAAATATATAGATATTAATTAATTAATATCACGAATTTATAATATTTGATAAACTTTTATTGTTCAGACATGATTCATAAATTTGTTAGGCCTAGAAACATTATTTAGTCTGACAAATATAATTATAAAAATAATAATGATTTACCTGATATGCACGACATATCAATATATAAACCTATATTAATATCAGTACGAAATCATAAAATTTATTACAAAATACATACGTGGCATACTTTCTACTTTGTGTTCAATCTGTCCTTCTCAAATTTATTAGCCTTATTTTTTTCGACGATTTTCATCACTTGGAAAGCGAAAAAACTCTATATACTTTTTGTCTTCTGTTATTAGAACAGTTTGGTGCAGAAAAACCTATCATGTTGTTGTTGAAAAATAAAATATAAATCAAAAAACCTGCTTAGTCAATACAAGCACGTGCTGGGTATCTCTAAATTGGATACAAAATGACTGATTGATATGCTCGTATATATATAGTACTTTAACCTCTCGTAAAAATTTGAGCGAGAAAGAGCGGCTTCCAGACCTTGTTAAAGTTTAAAGATGTTTTGTTACCTGTAGAGTGTTGTTAACGTATAGTTGTTAATAGACATTGGTATCAATATGAAAAATAGAACAATTACAGTACTCAAAGAAAACTACTTGGCGGCCTGATATACGACGTAAGTGGACCTTACAAGTATTAAATATTGAGGACTTATTCGGTTTACTTAACATTACACTGCGTATGTGTGATTATGGGGGAAAGTGGGTGTTGGATGTCTGCACAGGGACTTCCGGAATAAAATTTAAAATTAGACTTTATCAATAAATAATTCAATTCAATTATTTCTTTGGACTGCAATTTGAAAAAATTCTAGACCTTTAAATTCCCACTGTCATACGTCCGCTGACTGCCATTCCATAATCTCGAGAAGGAAGTTAGATAGATGAGAATCATTACAAAATATGGAAACAATTGAAGTATTTGGTCTCGTCTAATAACATATAAACTTCCGATGCAAACCAGAAATCACATTATTTCAATTCAAACATTTTCCCTGAAAGTAGTTAGATAGATGACTGGCACGACTCTATTGTTAAAAGAAAAGTATGATCTATAGACACAAGCCTCTACTAATTTGAGGTGAAAAGCATATGTTTTAATTAAATAAAAATTAAAAATATGATTAGAAATTGCAGCCCGACATTGTGATGATGTCATAATAAACAATTGCTCGTTTTTTATTATAATCCCGTAAAAATCTGGTTAAACCAGGTTTAAAATGTAAAGCACAGTAAAAATATCTAAATTGAGGTGTGAGGCCGGGACCACACACCCCCCTTTGGACAGAAACCGACTGTCGAGCTAAAATCAATATATCGGTGAATTATTACGTAAATAGGACCGGTGTGACCAAGGAACGGGATGCGAGACAATTTAATTGTCGCATTCCAGGCCTAATTGACAGATTCACGGTCGTCAATCGTGAGAACGATCGAGGAATCGACCGTCGGGGAAACTTTGGACGGTCACCTTACAGAGAGTTCAAAGCAGGTCCTGCTGACACTCCTGTGGAGGGGGCGGCGGCTGAGACAGCTTCCTCCTCTCCGGGACAGAAAAATAGACATTAGGTGACAATATACGGGACCGTCATCCGGGAAAGGGCTTGACCCGACTCCGGAGGGGAACGGCCCGGACGGGGTCATTTCGGCGACCCCTCGGCCCGAATCGCGTCCCTGGCAACAGACCAGGGATCAATAGAATCGCAGGGGACCAACATTCGGACCAACCAAAATCTCGGGATTTCGGATTTCGGGTGAGGAAAGGTGATAAAAGCTCGAGATCCCAAAGACACGGCGAGGTTGGATGTGAACAGTCAGGTTCGCTCAACTGGGGACGAGAGGCTAACGGACTAAAGACTTCCGAAGAAGGATCTAGGGACTGAGCTACCCGTCGCGGAGTTTCCACAAAAGACCCACCGAGGATCAACCTTCCACTTTGGGAACGACGAAGACTTGTGCGGCTACATCTCCGCCTCCAACGACAAGAGAGGAACCCTCTACGAGCAGCCCAGGAGAACCATTCCCGATACCTTACCAACGTGCCCTTGGAGGGAACTCCTTAGCGTTTGGGTCGACACTTTACGAGGGACCGACTGTGCTACTATTGTAAGCATGATTTCTAATCCAAATAAACGCGTTGAAATGGTAAATACGGTCTCTGTGTGAGTGTTTGCGTCCAGCAAACCGCGACCCCCATACGGAAAAGGCTTTCTCGTGTCATCCTGACAGATCACGGGCAAAGCGAGGGTCGTAACCTTTCACCTTAAGGGCGACCTCCATGCGAGTTTAGATTCGGGTACACCGCGTCCTTAAAAGGGAGACAATCCTCACGGTTGTGTCTTTCCCCACGGGCGCCCTCCTTACAGAGGAAACTTTGGAAAGTTGTGGCATAAAAATAGTGGAAGCAGATTTGACAGTAAGACTCAACACGTGAATAAATTGCATATTACACAGACTACAAATATAGGAAGTTTTGGAAGCAATGTCAACATGATAATAAATCCGAAGAATAAGCAACGTCACAGAAGTCTTCAAGCTTTGGCCTTAATGTCGTTGCACCTATATTAATTTCACTGAAGGAAGTTTGATGATTGAAGGATTTTAACGTTTAAAGTCATTTTCTTGCTTTTTTGTTTATAAAATTTTCAGAAGGTTTAAAGTGCAAACTTTTTCTCTTATTATAAATATAATACAAATAACTATGAAACTGTGAATGATTTTCACGTATATATAACTTATTATATTCAATTTTTAAAAAGTTTCTGATTATATGTAATTAATTAACAAACTTTTTAAAAAATAATCATATACTGTAGTAATATATGTTTAATAAAATATTGTATTGTACCGAAAGAAATGATGATAAATAAAAATTGATTATATTTAGCTAGAAATATCATCTTTTTTGTCAATAAATTGTAGTTGATAATTTTAATTAGCTTTAACGATGAGCGCTAAGAATTTAGTAATAAGAATAAAATTGATATTGTTCAAAGAACTTAGGCATAAAATAGTTTTCTTTCATACATATGAAGATTAAATTTTTATGAAAAAAATATTTTAAAATTCTATCAATTCAGAGAAGTAGAATTTAATTTAAATTAAATTCCATTTAAAAACTTCCCAAACATCCATTTAAGTTGATTCTGAAAACAAATATTAAAATACATTCATATATTTTTATTATTTTCTTACAAATACTGCGTATATATTTGTATAACATCGTAAAAAATCATTCAAAATTTGCTTCCTAGATGGCAATAGTTAAGTTGACCTACGGGATTCAATTACACAGGAAGTCCGACAAGTTGTTATAAAACATAAATTGTTACTGTACGAAATTACTTTCCTAGTTGTCAATTCACTTGTCTCGTGAACATCATGGAGTTATCAGAAATTTGTAACTATAAGTGGTTTATATTCTTTGTATTAGTGCTTCTTCTCTGTATTCTGTAAGTAAAAATTGTAATAATTCATTTTATTCTATAGTTGCCCGGTAATTATGAGTAGTGATGTTTTCTGATATATTAATTGCTATATCACACGTAGAACCTTATATTAATATTTATGACGTGATACTTGTAAAAGTTCTTACAGACTATTCATTAACGAATTAAATTAAGTAAATAATAATGTAATGACAATTTATTTTTTATTATACTCTTAGGCTTATAAAGTTGTTATTTATTTAGGAATTTCTTAACATAAAATTTATTTAATGTTATTCTTGAGTCGATCATTTACTGTCAAGAATTTCGTCTTGTTAGTTCAGTTTAATCAAGTGGACTTAAGTCAATTATCACAAGATAAATTTTATTCAATCTATTATACATATATATATAATAATTCTGTTTTAGTGACAGGAACAATATTAACAAATTATTTAATTAATATTTTTATGCTGAAATTATTATTTATTTATTTTCTTAATATTCTTTATATAACAGAAATATAATATTTATTAATAAAGTTATTATATATATTATCAGAAGATGCATTTTTTTAATTATAGAATTTTTAAATAATTTTTTATCCCAGATAAAAATTTGTTTGTGAGATAACTGCTAAAATAATTAATATCTTAAATTTAATAACAATTAATCTTTTAAAAAAAAATATTTTGCAAAATGGTAGAAAAATCATTTCGTATCTTTCATATATTGATTAAAAATTGCTTAATTCTCTATCTAGCGTTTTAATATTTAAATACTGAGACATAGAATGGAATTATAGAAAATTGATACATGTAATGTAATATTATTTTTACAAGTTAAAAGATACGTTGTTTTATGTATCTTTTAACTTGTATTTCTACATAATAAGATTCCTTTTAAACTTTTTAATTGCTTGATTTTCTTATGAATGAAACTGAAGTGAATCTTTAATTTATCTTGTTTACAATTTTTGCTCCATTTAGGAATGTTTTGACATATAAAAACTTAGAGTTAATTCAAAGCTATATATTGTTTATTTAATGTTTTTAATTAATAATAAAAGTTGATTACCTCAAATTTTATTATTCGGTAAAGATCGGTTTTAAAACCACGTATTCCATTATTCGAAAAGCTATTTTAGTATACCCATTAATGTTTTTTACAAAATTAAATAAATGTAACAGTCCCGTAACCAGGAATAAATCACTGAGGCTTAGATTAACAAATGAGGAATAAGCTGAAAAAATTGTATAATTCTATAAATAGGCTCGATATTAGAAGCACTGCCTACATTAAACACCTTGAACATTTTCACTTCGGTTTTAATTTTTCTGCTTTTCCAAGCTTAGTGAGGGTGATTTGTTATTAATCAATCTGTTAGAAATGGGGTTTACATTATCTACTAATGCAGGAGGGAAGGGTTCGGTCACAATAAAAAATGAAGATACGTAATAAGATTGTGACGATGATTAGTATTTTTTCTTTTTCGGCAGTTAGCCTTGTAACCATTTCTCTTGTTAAATACTTTTCCTGGTAGAAGAATAGTTATAATAAAAACACATATCATGTTTTGTCCTTTGTTCACTCGAGTCTTGTTTTTAATGTTATAAAAAAACGCAAATTGTATAATATATCATTTCATTTTTAACACAAAAAGACTACGCTTGAGGCAGTGGTTTAGAATTTCACTCAAAGTTTTAAATATACATACACATTTAAAATTTATTCTATAAATAACTTAAACTCTCCAAAATTTAAACGTATAAACAAAATTTATTTAAATACGCTTGTGTATACAGTGTGTACTCAAAAACATTGCACCTGTCTATATCTTGCTTCTGCTACGTATTATTTAAATAAATATTTACGAGAGTATAAGTAATCGGTAGTGGACTATTCGATGACGTAATCGTCTTGTAACCGAACCCTGCTCTCATGGCACCAAATCTTATCTCGTCTCCCATAAAAAATAGCAGCACAGCTAAACTACAAAATCGTAGATGGTTTCAAAATTAGAACAAAACACTTTTATTCCGGTTAAAATACTCAAAGGTAGGACGGCTGATTATCATCAGAAAAAATGGGTGAAGGGAAACTGAGGCACCTCTACATGAGCAAACGTTCAAGGCCAAACAGACAATCAATAGTTGAAAGTAAATACTCTAAAAACATCATTATCTCGAATTTTTTTACATCGTTATATAACTTATTTTTAGATGAGTTACGTTAAATTGTAACGTTGATAAAGTTCTACTTCATTTGAAACTTCTAAGACTTCTACCTAAAGAACTTCTATGATTTCCACTCTATAAATACTTTTACTTCATACAACATAATTTCATCGAATCCTTGTTACATCGTTATTTATTTTTAGAGTTCCGTTAAAATTGTAGCATTATTCTCTATATTCGCTTTCCGTTAATGGCTCTACTTCACTGGATCAATAAACTTATATAAAAACCTCGAAAACAGGAAAATGGTTTTGTGTTTACTTCTTTAATAACACTATTATATTAATAACTGATAACATTATTATATACATTAGCAGTATTGATCAATTTGTTTCAAGCAGGATAACGATGTATTTCTAGCTTGTGTTGCTAGCAGGGCTGTGGAGTCGGAGTCGGAGTCGTGGAGTTTTGATGTTTTAGCCGGAGTCGGAGTCGGAGTCGGTAGATTTTTACGCGACTTCCACAGCCCTGGCAGGGCTGTTGAGTAGGAGTTGGAGTCGGAGTCTTGGTGTTTTAGCCGGAGTCGGAGTCGGAGTCGGATGATAAGGAAAAGTCAGAGTCGGAGTTGGAGTCGGTAGATTTGTACGCGACTCCACAGCCCTGGTTGCTAGGTATTTATGACATTCAATAATATTATAGAATAGACTACTATTTTTTATATATGTTGTATTGTAATAATGTAGTATAAACGATTGGAAAAAACTTGGTCAGAATAGGCTGTGTCATTTTGTGCTCTCGATTTGAATCGCAATTTTGGAGGGAATTTTGGATACACACTTACATCAGACACATCGTTCGAAAGAGCTAACAGAGGTGNTTTCAAAAAATTCCAAAAATAAAATTTTAAATTAAATTATTTGACAATAAACTATATATATTACGTGCCTATATATATATATATATATAGGCACGTAAACAAAGTATTCATAGAACTAGTACATTTTGAAGGAAAATAGTACATTTTTTGAAGGCGTTTCAGTACGTTTTGAAATTTCATTGCGGCAACACTGCATGGAACGCTTTGTCTGTCTTTTTGTATTCTTTAATCTACTTGTGAAAAAATCCCCCAAAATTAAATAATTAAATTAAAAATGTATTCATATAGGAAAACGAAAGTGAGATGATGAAAAAATTCTAAAAGCTCTCATTGGATTAAGCTGAATGCTGCTAATTCAACATCTCACCTTTAGAGAGATATGGAGTGAAGATCTTAGTGAAGTTCTTTCCCAACCTCCGTCTCGTTGACTTGGTTTCCGTGTGTATCACGATTCGATGTAGTGATCCAGGTTCGATGGAAAGCACACTCCACACTCAAATTGATAATATTTACAGTTTATTTACAGATTCTATATGCAGAAAGTACAAGTTCGAAAACATACTATATATACAGGATAACAATGCGTAGTGACTCACGTACTAGATTGGTTTCCAGGAACTGTTAAACTGTGGAGAGGCCTCAGTCAGCTTGTGGAGTTGGCTCAACTGCACGGTCCGTCCAGTCTCCCCACTAACCCGTCCCTGAGATGTTTACCAGAGGAGAACACTCTCTCTACGCTCAGCGGGTATCCCAAGTGCCTGAGACTACCGTGTACCAATCTCTTGCCCTTCTCTCCTCCTCTCTCGTTCGCCTCGCAATTTAAGGGTTTTTGGACAGGGACTTCCGATCAATCACAACCCTTTCTTGCCCGAACAGCTTACACTCGGGTCCGCCGTCATCCGACGAGAGTGAAGCTTACATAAACGTCCACCACTTGTTTACATTCAGTTGTTTACCATATGTCAAATGGTCTAATGTCTGACTACAGGTGGGTCCAATTGACAAAGTCGGCGCTTCCTTTGTTTTTCCTCTGCTTACAAGTCAACACCTTACAAGTGGTATTACCCGACCGGACGTGGGTCCAATTGACAAGGTCGCGCCTCTTTTGTTCCCACTCTGCTAAAAGGTCAATACTTTACATATGGGTTAATGAGTAAACAGTACATTGGTAATTCCTGTACCAGAGTCTATTCTGTTATTTTTGGCCGATTACAAGTTAGACTCATTATTCGAGCTTCTATAGTATTATATACAAGAAGTAATACTCGTTCCTTAATCTTAGATCGTCGTCTTGCAATGCATTTTAAACCGCGGCGTAGCGAGCCAACGTCTAGACGCCGCACAGTGGAGCCAAATACATCAATTGTTGACAGAAATTATTTTACATAACTTTTGACAAATTAATGAGCAAGAAGACATCTATAAGCTATATCTTAAAAAAAAATATTAATTTGTTTCAAAATTTTATCATATTTCGCTATTTGTCTCTGATGAATCTGAAGTCATCACTATCAGATTTTTCTATACGGATTTCTCTAAAAAACTAATATCTAGTTGCATTAAGATTTCTAAAACTTCTTTATAAAACTTTGAATTTTTTTTTCTTTATTTCTCTGTTTAAAAACAATTTGATATTTGGCTGCTGATGATAATGTATAGCAGTTACTTCTTTTATCAGTTTGGATGCCTTTATTTTACCTGCAGAACGCAAATTCATCGAGCTGCATACAATCGAGTTTTATAACTGATAACTGAGTTATGTTTTATCTTGAGCAGTTTCGTTTATTGAGCCTAACATTACATAACAAAGGAAAGTATTGGAATCGTGTCAAATTCCACCTTCCGGGTTATTTGCAAATCTCCGCGCTTTGAGACCTTTTGTCTGTCACTGTATATATATATGATAGAATGTTCGTGTCTCTCTATTCTTAGATTTTTGGTCGATCTCCATTAAACTTTTTATAGTTATTCTCTTGGATCCTCAAGAAAATATAGACTACTGCAAAACCTGGAAACCCCACTTCTACTTTGATTTCATGTCACCTTATTAGCGTCTTTCTTTTGCTCGAACTGCACCAAATTCTTTATACTTAAATTTCTGGGATCATGAGAAAAATATAGACTTACAGACATGAAAAAATCTGGATGCTCCACTCTTCTCATTTGATCTCTTCGATCTTTTGTGATAAACGTAAGGACGGGTAAGATAGAATAATCAAACTTGTAATATAGTTTTAATTTTAACATTTATCTTTCTTACATTTCGACCAGCAAATGCCCAACGTTTCTGCTAGTTACTAATAAAAACAAATAATTATGAACTGAAATAAAAATGTAAATTTTTAAACTACTCAAATCTGGTTTCATTATTTTTGAAAGCTCGTGGAACATTATAAAGAATTCTGTGTGAAGTTCTGCATAAAAGTACAAAATGTAGAACGCAGTAGTAGACTTGTTCCCACCGGAATTGTCTCAACCATGGGTTTCGCAGAAGAGGTCAAATGGGCAATCGCCTCTCCATGCGAGCGAGTAAAAAGTGATGATTATATCGTAAAAATAATTAAGATATGTAGCCTTACCCCTTCGACCATGGAACCAGTGTTGCCGTTCCTAGTACATTTGTACTTTTCTGGTACATTTTGCCCTTTCCAGTAAATTGAAAGTACATTTAGATTTTTAGTACATTTTCAGTACATTATAATATTTCAAGTACCATTTACGGTACAAAATAATAGTTCACGCCTTAACGAAAAAATGTAGGATATCTTNGGGCCCTTTTTAGCGAATTCATTATGGATTTGGCCAGATCCGCAATGAGTGCCGGGTAGTAAATGATGAGTTCTGATATATGTAGAACTCCCGAAAAATTCCCGATTCGATTCCGGATCCTCGGGAGCAGTAGGCTGTCACATTAGCATCTCGGCCATCCAATCGTCTCCTCTTACTTTCCCGGCTGTTATATATACAGTATATAACAGAGAGAAAGTATGGCGTTCGGTCAAAAATGCCCCTGTCCATGATTTTTACATTTTTAGACTCAGGGCACCTTGAAACGTCGAGAAATGCAAAAATCGGGGATTTTTTCTGTATGTATAGATGTTTGTGTGGATGTACAATCCAAGCGCTGCTTTTCTACATATTTTAACATTTATCATATCGTGGCACGAGCTTTTCTATTTCTTCTTGGAAACATTCCTATCCAACATGCGATAACCATTCTCGTGTCTCATTTGTGATGTCTTCATCGGAGTCGTATTGGCGATTTTTCGTAAAGGTCCTTCGTAAAGGTCCTTCGTAAAGGTCCTTCGTAAAGGGCCTAACACATGGAAATTACAAGGTGTTTTCCATGTAACAATTTCCAAGGTCTAGACTTTACGGAGAATGTTCTCATACAGTCCATTTGAATTTTTCTAGTAGGGACTTTGTGATGTCTGCTGAATGAGTTGTAGCGGTGTGTAGATATTTATAAATAGCTTTCAAAAAATTCCAAAAATAAAATTTTAAATTAAATTATTTGACAATAAACTATATATATTACGTGCCTATATATATATATATATATAGGCACGTAAACAAAGTATTCATAGAACTAGTACATTTTGAAGGAAAATAGTACATTTTTTGAAGGCGTTTCAGTACGTTTTGAAATTTCATTGCGGCAACACTGCATGGAACGCTTTGTCTGTCTTTTTGTATTCTTTAATCTACTTGTGAAAAAATCCCCCAAAATTAAATAATTAAATTAAAAATGTATTCATATAGGAAAACGAAAGTGAGATGATGAAAAAATTCTAAAAGCTCTCATTGGATTAAGCTGAATGCTGCTAATTCAACATCTCACCTTTAGAGAGATATGGAGTGAAGATCTTAGTGAAGTTCTTTCCCAACCTCCGTCTCGTTGACTTGGTTTCCGTGTGTATCACGATTCGATGTAGTGATCCAGGTTCGATGGAAAGCACACTCCACACTCAAATTGATAATATTTACAGTTTATTTACAGATTCTATATGCAGAAAGTACAAGTTCGAAAACATACTATATATACAGGATAACAATGCGTAGTGACCCACGTACTAGATTGGTTTCCAGGAACTGTTAAACTGTGGAGAGGCCTCAGTCAGCTTGTGGAGTTGGCTCAACTGCACGGTCCGTCCAGTCTCCCCACTAACCCGTCCCTGAGATGTTTACCAGAGGAGAACACTCTCTCTACGCTCAGCGGGTATCCCAAGTGCCTGAGACTACCGTGTACCAATCTCTTGCCCTTCTCTCCTCCTCTCTCGTTCGCCTCGCAATTTAAGGGTTTTTGGACAGGGACTTCCGATCAATCACAACCCTTTCTTGCCCGAACAGCTTACACTCGGGTCCGCCGTCATCCGACGAGAGTGAAGCTTACATAAACGTCCACCACTTGTTTACATTCAGTTGTTTACCATATGGCAAATGGTCTAATGTCTGACTACAGGTGGGTCCAATTGACAAAGTCGGCGCTTCCTTTGTTTTTCCTCTGCTTACAAGTCAACACCTTACAAGTGGTATTACCCGACCGGACGTGGGTCCAATTGACAAGGTCGCGCCTCTTTTGTTCCCACTCTGCTAAAAGGTCAATACTTTACATATGGGTTAATGAGTAAACAGTACATTGGTAATTCCTGTACCAGAGTCTATTCTGTTATTTTTGGCCGATTACAAGTTAGACTCATTATTCGAGCTTCTATAGTATTATATACAAGAAGTAATACTCGTTCCTTAATCTTAGATCGTCGTCTTGCAATGCATTTTAAACCGCGGCGTAGCGAGCCAACGTCTAGACGCCGCACAGTGGAGCCAAATACATCAATTGTTGACAGAAATTATTTTACATAACTTTTGACAAATTAATGAGCAAGAAGACATCTATAAGCTATATCTTAAAAAAAAATATTAATTTGTTTCAAAATTTTATCATATTTCGCTATTTGTCTCTGATGAATCTGCAGTCATCACTATCAGATTTTTCTATACGGATTTCTCTAAAAAACTAATATCTAGTTGCATTAAGATTTCTAAAACTTCTTTATAAAACTTTGAATTTTTTTTTCTTTATTTCTCTGTTTAAAAACAATTTGATATTTGGCTGCTGATGATAATGTATAGCAGTTACTTCTTTTATCAGTTTGGATGCCTTTATTTTACCTGCAGAACGCAAATTCATCGAGCTGCATACAATCGAGTTTTATAACTGATAACTGAGTTATGTTTTATCTGAAGAGTCATTTAAGCTTCTCTAAGTTTGACCGGCTCTTTTACTTGTAGCAACGTCATAGGCCTATAGTGTGAAAAACTGATTCATCTGCATAGCCAGATTTTGTTTATAATTAGGAATCTATCTTGTTTCCTGCTAGCCTCTTGCCATCTCTTCTTAAAACGAGCCAAAAAATGAACTTTTTAAAATGCAGATCGAAATTAAAATCATCAGGATAATTTTTACGTTTTCGAGAAATTTCTTCAAATAAGAAACTTGGTCTTCCAATTGCACGAAATAACATTGCTTCATTGTTTCAAATAGGGATTTTCTTGTAAGAAGACTGTACATTACATTAAACCCGATTCTAAATGCCACAAAATCTCTATATGATTTAAATAAAGTAAATAGTTATAAGTAAATATACAGATTAACTTTAAAAATATATTTAAGAAAATCAGTATCATTTTTTTCAATAAAATGTATTAATCTTAAATAAATTATTATTGATGTTTTTATTCATTGATTGATTATTTTTACATTTTATCAACTTTTGTTATCTCTTATAATACTTACACCCTTAGATTATTATTACCAATAATTTTTTTAAAATTTCAACCTCTAGATATGTAAAGAAGCGAGTAACTTATTGGAAAAATCATGGAGTTCCATCCCTAACAACTGGAATATGGTCATTCCTCGTAGCGTTGCGTACGTTTAAAAACATGGTAACTTTGAGTTTCAAAAATATTTGGAGTTTCGTAATATTTTCTAATAATATTTTAAAGAATTTTTTAAATAAAAGTTTTTATTGCATTTTTAATTATAATAAGAAAGTATTCTGTAAGTAGTTTGCGTTCTCGCCGGTATGATTACTCTTATGACGTTATTTAATTAATATACTATATTTTAATCTTTTTGAAATTCAAATTCTTCCTACTTATATCGATTTTTATATTTATTGTGAGAGAAATTATTCCGTATTATACAACCAGTTCGTTCAGTTCTCTATTTCAGAACAAACACACTTAGGTATTTTCATTTAGAATATTGGCAGCATTTGTCAGAATCGACATTTAATTGATAGCAGAAAAATTTATTAATAAACATTGTAAGTTTGCTTCAGTGATATGCAACATATAAAAGTTCTTTCTAAAATTAAAAAAAAAACTCAATAAGTCATACTAATTCTACCTGCAGTATTTAAACATGGAAATAGAAAAATTGAATATTTTCTAAGCATTACAAACGTGCATGAAAATATGCAATGGACATAAGCGAAGAAAAATGTAAGGATACGACACCATTGTAAGGTATCGCCGCCGACAAACAGCTGCCTTGTTGGAGGCAGAGAAACTCGCTTTTCCCGCGACTTGGTTAGGATGATGCGAGAGTAGTTTGTACGTATGGGAGTAGCGGTTGCTGAACACAGAGACTCACATGGATACCGGAGTGACAAAATTAATGGCGTTTATTAAGACAAAACATGCTTACAGAGGAGGTGCAGTACTACGCCATCAGTTGAAGGTTGTCACACCAAGCGAAAGAGAGTCTCCGAGGATAAGTTGTTACACAAACCGAAAAACGTCCGTCCCCGATGGTAAGGTATTGCAGAAACAGGAGAACGTTCGTCTCCAATGTAAGGTGTTTCTGGAGGCTGGAAGGATAGAAGTCCATGCGTGGAAGTTAGGTCCCTGTTTGTACTTGTCCGGGTAGAGAAGTGTGCATGGGAAGTTAAGTCCCCCGACCTTGCCGCACTCGTCTAAGTTTCGGGTCTTCTCCTCCATGACCCTGGACTGGATTGCAAGAACGGACTAACCTGCTTCAACCTCTCCGTGTCTTTGAGATTTCGGACTTTTATACCATCTTCGCCCGAAATCTCTCCTTTTGGTTGGTCCGAAACGGTGTCGCACTTACTCTATTGGTCCCCGTGCCAGGGGCCCAATTCGGGGTTGTCAAACATCCCCACCCGGATCACTCCCGGGTCTTGCTCTTACCCGAACGACTGTCCTGTAAATTTCCGCCGATGTGTTTTTCTCTTGTCTCGGGGAAGACACGGCTGGGTTCATACGGTCCGAAAGAGCTCTCGCATTTTCGGCTTTGAACACTATGTAAGGTGACCACCGAAATTTCACCGGCTATCGATCTCTTGCTCTTCCTCACGATCTACGATCGGGGATATGTCAATTAAATATTACCGCACTACGTTTCTTCGCAGCCCCAGTTCTGTTAACGAAAATAAGTCACCAATTAATTCACTCTGGTTGAGTAGCCGGTTTCCCGTCTGAAGGGTGAGGTCCCGACCACACAAACCTATGATCAAAAAATCTATTATCCTCAAACACGAAATGTAATTTCGAGATTATACACTAGGGATGGCAAATCTGTTTTGAGTCCTCCTGCATTGAAATAGTTATAAATATCTTTCAAATAATTTATTCGTGCAGATGTTTTAGACGTAGAACATGTAGAAGCGAAGTAAGTACACTTTTATTAGCATAAATTTAAAACAGTTGGATAAGAGAAAGATGACTGAACGTAAAAGCACGACAGAAAACTGAAATTAAAATAATGTTTATTTACGCAGTAAAAGAAATAAACGAAACTGTATATGTTGCGTGTTAGACATTTCTTTCGTTCTGCCATTTGCAGCACGCATGTTATAGGTTCGCTATCCCTTTTATGAATTACAGTATTGAAAGGATAAAAAGTACTGAAATAATGCTATTGATTCCTGACTTACATGTTTTGTTTAAAAATAGAATTATAATATATGTTTTCATTTTTAGTACATATTTTTAAGGATGAAACAGCGTTCTTACTAAATAATGTGAACGTAAATATGACTCTTTCAGAATAGATATACTGTAATAATCAATAAGCAATCATGCTATGTCCATTTTCAGTAATAATTTCATTTGATTCAGGTATGAAACTTTATTTAATCATTCTTTTATATAGAATATAAATTTCAAATAATGAAAGGGATTTTTGAAATAATTAAGTTTCCATTATTTGTATTTCTTTCTACTCGCAAATATTTTTATATGGAGAAAGTAGAGTTTAATAAAAATAAATTGAGATTCGAGTGACAAAATTTAATACGTTATTGTTCTATGGAGCAGTTCTTTAAAATTACACGTAGATTAAAAGACAGAAACCAAGATAATAAAGAAAACGTGTCATAAATGTTTTAATTGTAACACATGGCGTATAGTGATGAAGATCACAAACAGATTACCTATCTGACTATATAAAGCTGAAAAACCGGATTTTTTCTTTCTTTCTTTCTGTCACTGTATGCCATTAGGGACGCCCCTAGCTATTATTTAAATTAACAATAAATTCAGTATATTATTATTTTTTACATTTCTGGCTGTGTTTTACTAGAGTACGCCATGAGAATTTCAGTATATTATTAATTTTATTTGTAATAAGAATTTATTATTTATACCATGGAATGACACCGCTGCTGCTAGAACGTCCCGGGCCACTAGAATAGAAGGATTAGATGTACGAAATAATGTAATAATCTTAATCATTGTTGTTGTTTTTTGCTCGGGAAACGCCGGGCTCATCTGCTGGTAATATATAAGATTAAAAACGTGTCAATATGTTATTTTCAGAAAAATTTCCTTAATTAAATTGTGATAATAAAAGTCATATTGGTTTTAGTATAGATATACTCCTTACTCATATTTTAAAATTTAATTTTTTATATATTCAGGATAATTTAATAATGTTTGAAGAACATATCAGATTTAATAAATTTGTTCTCTAAATGAAAATTTTAAATTTTCTTTTTCTTTCTTCTTTTGTTGTTCCAAAGAAACAACGACTAATATTACAAATCTACGTGAAAAAGCCATATGTATTTATGCATTACCTTTTTTATAAAGTAAATTTAATGGATTGTTAGTTCTTGCCATGTATGAGCGGCATTAAAAAATAATTAATAGGCATTAAAATTACTATTTATTAATTAAAATTTTAATTAATAAATAGTAATTTTGTTTTTCTAAAACTAAATTTCAGAAACATAATTCAAAATTTTTATTTGTGAAAGTATAATGATTTTACAATTTTTCTGTTTCTAAAATATACTGCTGAAAAAAATTTTATCATTATCTTTTACTTTCGAATGCAGATTTGCAGGTTTAATATTACTATAATGTGTCATCTTATTAAAAATGTTTCTCAGTAATATGCTTAAACATTTTAAAATATAAATAACATTAGTCGAAGAATTAATATTAGTTGAAATTTAAAAAACTGAGTTAATTGGAAATACGTTCTATATTTGGTTTAGATTTATTTGTTTTACGCAGCAATTACAATCTATATAAATAAAAATGTACGGTAAATGTTCGTTTGTTCAAAATCTTAAATCTCCGAAAGTACTTCACCGATTGCTTTGAAATTTTGAAACAACGTTGCATTCGAATACGGGCTTTTTTTTATATTATATAGATGACGAATTCCCCCCGGGGGAGAGGGACAAAATTAAGGCTTACCGTGAAGCACTCTGCTTCAATTATAACGTTTTAGATGCGGTTTTTTGTGTTTATGATTGAGTTTTAATAGAGTTCTTCAAGAGAATGTACAGTAAGAAAGGATTTTTCGAAATTCCTCCCACGGGAAATGTTATACATTTATAATAGATACATTTTGAGCCACAGCAACGTGTGGCCGGGTACAGCTAGTTACAGAATAAAATTACAATTTTTTTAGAAAATTTCCATGTTAAAATTCGTTAATTTAAGTAGTTTTATATCAATTGTCAGACTTTTGTATTTATTAAGTTTTAATTAATTAATTAATATATAAACAAAATTAATTAAAACAATGTTGAATTTTCCATACAAACGTTATTTAAATATTTTTTCCTCTAGCCATTACACTTACTTCAATTGGAAGCATATAAAAAGTATGGCCGAATATATGGGTATGTACTGTACATTTATGTTAGTTATTTTAGATGTTAGTGTTATTTTATACTTTTAAAACATCATATATTTTATAGTATCTATTTGGGCCTTGAACCACAACTCGTTATTGCAGAACCTCATATCTTGAAAAAAATTTTAGTTAAAGATTTTAATATGTTTCACAACAGAGTGGTAAGTTTGAATACCAAAATATTATTAAGCTTTTTATTTTTTAAATTTGAATTTTAAAAAATTTTTATATACATTTTTTGTATTATTTTATTTGAAATGTTTATATTTTGAATCACTTATAACAGTGTTTTTCAATCTGTGGGTCGCGACCCCCAGGGCGGTCGCAAAGCCTTACACGGGGGTCGCGGGTAAAAGAAAAAGACAAATGTTTGTAGGTCCTACACTACAATAAAAAAAGAAAAAACTACAATTTCAGTAAGAAGGCTATACCTGTTTATTTTACAGTATAATTGGTTTTTCGATCGATATTTAGGTCTCAACAGAAAGAAAATTAAATACTGTATGTAGTTTTTAAAATCACTGATATACAGTAGTTTTAATATGGCCCTGGGGAGGTCACCAGAAGTTTTTAACTTGCAAAGCGGTCGCGTATTCAAGAAGGTTGAAAAACACTGACTTATAATATCAATTGAATCCGGTTCAAAATTCCGACAAGATAAAAAGACTGACAACTCAAAATTTCGTCAGTCTAATACTAAAAGTCTACAAACATTGTATGAAAATGGACAATCGATTGCAAATATCTTGATTGATTTTACATGCAATTTATATTTTTGATTTATATTATGCATGAACATATCACAAAAATGCATTTATTACCTTTTTAATTAGAGAAAAATTATCAAGAGAAGGAAATTAGAGAATTAGAGAAAGAAATTAAAAAGCTTACTTTTAATAAAAAGTAAACTTTTAATTTTAAATGTATATTTAGTGGTTTTAGTCGTTTCTCGTGATATTTTCACATAATTGTTAAGAATAGAGTTAACGTTCCTAGAACTATTGAATTTTAATTCAAATGCCTTTGTGTCCTTATTTTATACAATTTATTATATTAATGTCTACTAGGACTTATCATATTATTAGGACCTATTGTGCAGGTGAAATACCAGGTGAACAATAAAGATTTGTTTTTTCTGAATAAGTTTTCCTCAATTTGCAGAATCGGAACACCAATACAATAAGTACATAGAATAAATACAATATAGTATATAGAATTTTAATTTTGTGCTTTTTAGTTATTTATCCAAGATGTACAATACATTACATAATGCACATAATAAATTGTTATTTCAGGACTTAGAGACAGGAAATCCATTGTTCGACAAAATGCTATCCGGTTTGAAAGATGACGACTGGAAAAGAATTAGGTGTATTATGAGTCCCACTTTCAGTAGCAGTAGAATGAGAAAAGTAAACAAATTCTTTCATTAACATAAATATTTTTATTTAACATTTTAATTTGTTTTTAATCTTTGTTTAAAAATTTCATGAGAACTAATATTGCTTTAGCTGATTGTAACCTGTTTATGCTCGCAATCTCCAGCCGATGGCGTTAAAGATTTGATGCTTTTTAAGCTTTTTATTAACTTTTTCCATCCGTCAGACTTACTGTCTAGAAAAAAGTTGCAATTCATCTACGTCTCAATTTCTGATTTAGTTGAAACTTTACACACATGTGTATTGCCAACGACAGTATAATTTTAAAATAGTTTGCAAACATTTTTAACAATTAGCAAAAAATTACGAATACTTAAAATTTGTACAAAACTTATGATAACATAAGATGGCGCTACAACATACGATTGCTATTTACCATCCTACATATGGGAACGAAATTGAAGACAAAGAATCACGTGGACCTCTGTTACAACAAATCTGTTGGCGGGATAACCATAGTAACATCTGTTACTTTAGCAGAAAGTGGCAAAAGGTAAAGCTATTAATATGGTTATCCCTCCAAATAGCTAAAGTACACCTTTATTCTTTAAGAAAATATATAAAATATACATAAAAGATATTAGTATTCACTACTTTTATTAATCACCTTATCTGCAATTTTGCAGGTCATAGGAGCAGTCATGTTCAAGGTAGAATTCTATCATCAAAGTAAATGAGAGAACTAATCACTCACTATATCAAATCCAAACGACTTAAAGCTTTTTTTTTAATCGAAATCAATCTCACAAAGAACAATATACATAAAATTAAATGCCAAATTAAGATGAATTTCGCTAGTTTAGTGTTACGAACTTATAGTTTAACTAAAAAATAGAAAATAAAAAATATATTAAAAATTATTTTAAAGTAACGGTTTTTATTCGGATAAATGTACAGTACTAAAGAGTAAAAAAATAAATTTTCTTCAACTTTCACAGTATTTTTGGTATTATGATACCAAAAGTAAAAGCGTGAGGCACTTCTATTTAGAAATATTCTATAGCTAAAAATACTGTGAAAGCTGAAGAAAATTTAGTTTTTACTCTTTAGTACATTTATTCGAATAAAAAGCGTTACTTTAAAATTATTTTTTATTTCTGTGGGAAAATTCTTTTCCTCAAATTCCTGAAAAAATGAAAGTAGATAGAACGAAATAATTGTTTCCTTTAGCATCTTATTTAATTCTTCTATTAACCTATTGTTCAGAATTTTGAAAATTGAATTCGTTAATTTTCTGAGATTACTATCACTTTAAAAATTCCGTATGACTTTTAGGCAAAAATACTTTAAATTTTAATATAATTTAGGAAGTAAACAGTTTAAATAAATTTTAACTGCCGTATTCACCAATCCGAGTTAAAGTTTGGGATGAATCTCGAATTATTGCTAAATTGGTATTAGATACGGCATAATTTCTTGTTGCAGAAAGTAAACTATCACTAATTTAGTCATAGTTTACTTTCCATAACAACGAGAAATTACGCAATGTCGCTGATAGAATAAGTGTTGTTGGCTCTGTATTTTTATGCCACTGGAAATATGCAGTTGGTCGTAGGTGATATAAATGATTTAATAGGATAATCTGCGTGTAAAGCTATTAATATAGACCTTTTACATTGCTCAACTCTATGAAAGAAAGCATCACTGTCATTATTAGCACCTTTTTATTCACTATACCATGTGATTAATCGAAATTATTCACCGTATCTGTTAGATACCAACAAATCAATAACTTCGAGTTTCAAATTGGTGAATATGAAAGTGAATAACTCTTCATACTACTCAGTGTTATATAACTCGAGTACATCAACTCTCGAAGTAACTCGTGTTGATGAAACAGGGGTAAGAAGTCATTCATGAATTGTTGGGAAACGAAAATTGTCCAGATCTAAAAACGTCATGATTGTCTGTACGAGAATAAGTAAACACAATTGTTTGTGAATGACTTAAGATACTTATTTGAAAAAAAAATCTTGTATCATTTGGTGACAGACACTAATAAATAATTGTTGTCCTTATAAATTTCTGCGCTTAGATTGCGTCCTGTACATTATATTACAAAAAATTTTGAATATTTTCTTTGAATAAATTTTGCATTGTTATGAAATTTTATTATATTTTAAAATTTTACAGATGGCTTATTTGGTCAGGGAATGCACCGAAAAATTTTCAACTGATATGAAAAAAATAATTGAAACTAATAGGGATCAACCAATTGATTGTAAAAAGTAAATAGATTTTTTTAAATTTAAAATTATTAAATCTACTGTTTAAGTTTCATTTTTTAGTTGTATTGCATATTTAATTTCTTAATAAAACAATCTATGTAATAAAATAAACATATTTTTTAAATTTAGAACATTTTTAAAATTAATTTTCTAAGAATTCCACTAATATAAAAAATTAAGAAATTATACTACAGTGATTCATTCGGGACGGAACAATTACTTTCAATATTTCATGATTGCAGTTATATCGTCTTTCAACATGTAATATAAAACCTTGGTCGACTGCTTCGTGATGAAAAAAGAATCGTTCCGTTCGTGTTTCATGTTCGTCCTTTCAATTTATACGGAGATATTCCACTTAATAAGTGTTCCGTTCTGAGTAAATCGTCCCTGTCGGGATAAAATCGTCCGACATACGATTTCCCGCACTTTTCCGTGTTTTCATATGAACGACGGTTGTCACCATGGGAACGCCGATCAGGCGACTTTGGAAACTCGACCGCGGATTGGCTGGAAGACATCGTACGACCAGCGGACGTGCGATAGCGCTACTAAGCCGATTGGTGGAATTCCATTTCCCTCAATCTGTATAAGAGGATTGAGTTTAGGCGGGAAGTTTAGGCGGGAAGTTTAGTTCGCCTAGGACACTTCAAGGGAACTCACGTTCGTCTAGCTTCGCCTAAGCTTGCCTAGAAGATTGTTTTGTCTCGCTGTGCGGTAACTAACGTTTGAAGGAGTTCGTCGCAAGGTGTCCTTTTCGATGGACCTGTTGTCGTGAATTAAAAGTATTTGAACTTTGTTACACCTGAAGTATTGTAATTGTTGTTTGTGAACTTTTGTAATTGTATGTACTGTACGTTTACTCGTAATATAAACGTTTTTTGTGGAAATTCAACAACGTCACGTCTCGTTTTGAATTTGACTGTCCCACATTTCCTAGAGTAAGAATAGAGACGATACACTGGATATTTAAGATCAAGTGTACCCGCTCTGGATATTATATATTACTCTTCCGCCATGGCTTTGTTGCTTAAACAATAAAGTAGAAAAGACTATAAAAGGTTCGAAAATTCTAACGCTGCATGTTATGATGTCGTGTGCTTTTCTTGCAAAAATGTCGGAAATATCATATAGAGTTTAAGATATATTTGAATTGTTATAACTGTTATTTTCTTAAAACAGGTTCTGTACATATTATGATCTTTATAATGAGCACGGAACTAATGAGCATCTGCTCCGTTCTTATTTCAGAAGACCATCCATTATTTTATATGAAACAATCTAAATCAATTTTTCAAATTTAGGATACGAAATTGTTGAAAACGTTTAGTAAATTTAGTTTAGGTTACTGATTTTTTTTTCCGCCAACTCAATAAAACTAGAATATAATAAGCGTGTATAATCAGTTTGATTTTATTTTATAATTTTAATAGTTAACAGAAAAATATTAAAAAAATTTTTTTAATTTTTAAAGTATATAATAAACTTAATAAAAAAAGGTTAATTTAAAAAGTCTGCATCTGTTTAATTTCAAATATGTTTTATAGTATATTTTTATATAATATTTTAAAGTTTCATAAATTAGAATTACAAGTAGGAATGCCGACTTTTGTCTTTTCAAAATCAAACAATACATAAACTTAGTTAATTTAAAAATTGTAAGATATTTCTTCAAAATTAACTGTATTATCAATTATTTTTATATAAGATCTTATGAATTCTTACAACTCGTTAGAAAAATTAAATTAATATTAGAGTAAGCGCACTAACTTAGCATGGAATCATAATAGATTAAGTTACATTAGAAATCAAATATATTTAAATTTAAAATATTTTTATATTCTGCTTTTCGTGATGTGTTGATTATGGTTATGAAATTACGTACTTTATTTAGGAAATGATTAAAATTTTATTATTTACAGGTATTTATCTAATTTTTCTCTCGATGTAATTGCTTCTACTGCATTTGGAACAAAATTGAGTTCTTTAGACGATCCGAATAATACATTTGTGGATAAATTTCGAAAGACAACCAGCACAAATGTATCACTTCGTCTTATGATATTTTGTAAGTAATATTGCACATTTCTAAATTGATTTAAGATTAAAATATTTATTTAGATTAACATCTTTAGATAGAAAATAACTTTGCTTTATCTTAGGCAAAATTATTTCCTATCTGTAAAAATTTTATGTTATCTTATTTAAAATGTATTTATTATTCAGCAAGAAAAGTAACAATAACAATTTTTTTACTTGTTACTTTTCAATTATACATTGAATAAAAGAACATTTTCATCCTCAACAATTTGTAATTCAAATATTACAAATATATTTTAATACAAGAAGCTTCTGCCTATATGAATGTCCATTTAATTTTATATACTGATTTATATTTCTTTCGATTATTTTTTTCAAAATTTCAATTTACATTTATGAATAAGGCTTAACCAATTAGCGATAGAAATGAATAATCAGTGTAACGTGAACCCCTGGAATTCAAGACTCTGACACCACCTATAACCAGGAATATAGAAAACTCGCTCGAATTTCTCGCCCTTACCATAAGATCACATATGGTACCGCTTGCACACGTATTGAAAAACACGTGTGCGAGCGGTATCGTATGTGATCTTAAGGTAAGGGATGGAGAAGATAAATAAGAGTGAGGGGGAAGCCCAGAAGTGATGCACTCGATGAGAAAATTCTACTAAAACAATGCTAAATTTATTTGACGGAAGTATATAAAATCTACAAGTATACATAACAAAATGACATCATATGATATCATCAATCAAAAGAATTCTACATTACATAAGATTAAATATTAATTAATGGCGCACAAATCGAATTACAGCTATTGATTAACTCTTTTCTACCTTACAAACAAAACCCGCCCAAAGCGCGACAGAGAGAATTTACGTCTGGTCGCGGGTAGATATATACCTTCGATGTTAAGTGATGTCTTCAATGACGACAATTTCTTGATTTAAAAATTCTCTAATTTCATCAATCTTCTATCTAAATTTCTTCGTATCAAATAATGACGGTTGGCTGGCGACGACGTAACTGGATTGGTCATTTGGCGAACTGGACAGGATCGGCAGACCACTAGTCGAAGTCGGTGTAACTAGACGACCTTTTTGAACTTTTCTTGGTTCTTTTATACCTTTTCATTTTCCCTCTGAGTCAAGATGCTATCCAATAAGGTAATATCGTATGGAAACTCTGTTGTTATCCAATCCTGAATTTTCGGAGTCGTTGAAAGGGAAGTGTTATTTTTGACAAACTCTAGCCACTTCCTCGTAATTTTCTTCTAAAATTTTTTCTGTTAACATTCTTTTAAAATAAATTATTAAAATATTAATCTTTTACAAAAACTATAGTCCGGGGTCATACAATCAGCAAGAAAGATTTAAATATCAAACATTATGTTTAGTGATATTCGCCCTAACACGATAATTATTGATGTTACCAGGCCCATGCACAGGGTTTTTAAAAGGGTGGGATTTTAAATATATACAGTATATTGGTTTTATAATATAGTGTATAATTTTTTACACATAGGTATATAATATTTAAAATGTGTCATCTGTAATATACATATACAATTTGTGTCTTTTATGTATAAATTGCTTATTAATTCATTACAGTTTTGTTTCCGAAAATTTTCAAATATCTGAAATTTAATATTTTTGATGAATTTACTGATTATTTCAAAGAATTTACTTTACATGTCATCGAACAAAGAGAGAAACAAAATGAGGTGATATGTTATATTCTATATTTTCTTAAAGATTCTGTAACATTAAATTAATTATAAAAGATTATTGTTTCTTCATTACTAATTTATTTAATTTTAAATTTCTTATGATTTATTTCATATTAATCTATTTATTTTTTTCATAATTTAATTTATAATAAGTATTGAATATACATACAGAAAAGCAACGATTTTCTTCAGTTATTACTCGATGCTCAAAAAGGTACCTTGGAAATTTCACCAGAAGATATCAAAGAAACTAACGAAAAAAATGAAGTCGAATTGAAAATATTACCGAAGCATAAAAGTTTGTCATAAGTCATTTCGTAATTTAAGTAATACAGTTGAACCTCCAATAGCTGCCAGTCGTAAACAGCGGCCATTTTATCAGAAACCTCTTTATTTTGTTTCAACAAAAATGCACACAAAATGTTGTTGGCGCGTTTGTTCGAACAATGGAGAAATTGTATGTTTCTGTCAGTGACTGTTGTTCAGAGGTTTGGCTATTTTTTATGATATTTATAAAATAGGAAATATTTTTAAAATGAATTATTTTCAGCTATGAGCATGGAAGAAATGATAGCACAATGCGTGTTGTTTCTTTTTGCTGGAAGTGAAACAAGTACTAACACATTATCTTTTGTCTTATATTACTTGTCCTTCTATCCCGAATGCCAAGACAAATTGGTTAAAGAAATAGATAATGTTTGGAATGCAAATGTAAGTGGAGTTGATACAATTACAGATTTAATTATTATAATATTTGAAATAATTATATACAGAAAGATATAAGTAATGTCTATTTTTTTATTTAAAACTAAAGATTAAGAAATATTGTAAATAGAGCTAACTTAACAAAAATGTTTTATCATTTATAAATTGAAACATTAAAACTATTGATAACCTTTAGTATTTTAAANCTTATATATATATATATAATTTATTTATTTATTTAGAAAATATTCGTTGTTTACATGTGTACTGTGCTGAACTTTAATTTCACAATTTCTATCCTATCTTTGGGATTATATATTTTTGGTTGTATTTAAGTATATATCTATAATATTTGTATAAGTCATTAATATTTAATAATGTAATTAAATTAGATTTATATTTGTTAGAAGGAAATAAACTTTGATGTGCTTACTAGTATGCCATATCTTGATGCTGTCATTAGTGAAACTCTCAGAATAGAACCAGTTGGATTCCAGTAAATAATAAACTTATTTATAAATTTTTAAAGTGATTAATTTTAATAAAATATATTGTATATAAAAATATTTAATATACTTAAATTATTTATTTTAAATTTAACGTATTTAAAATAAGATCAAACTGAATATGCTTATTTAATTCAAATTTAATTCAAATCATTAATGATACGTTGAAATTTTCTATCATTTAAAAATTTTATTTAAAAAATTTTTAAATATGATGTCCTAAAATTTAAATTTTTTAATTAACAAAATAATCGATAAACCAAACAAATCATCTGAGATGTAAAAACGTTGTGCAAAGTAAAAAATTATGAGTTTAGATGACAGTAATTTTTTTTTTTCCTTAGGAGTTTTACTTTAGTAAAGATAAGTGCAATACTTCGTTTTGGGACCCACAAGATTTTTACCTGTATTAATGTTTTCACTTCAAAGCGCCAAGTGTATCTTTACCAAAGAAAAAATTTCAAGAAAAAACTTTGGATGACAGTCAAATTTTTTACTTGGCGAAATTTTTACATCTCAGACGTTTTTCTTTAGATACTCATATTCATATAAAATATTTTAAAAATTAATTAAAATTATGTATAAACTGTTTATTAAAATTATAATGTATTTATTTACAAATACACACACACACACACATTTTCCTTTGTTTAACTTATTCATTCTTCTAAAATATAATTTAGGCTTATTAATCCATTTTTAACTTTTCAGCTTTAGAGAAAATTAACGTTTTTAATTCATAAGAAACAACTTTTAGTTATATCAATTTTTTTAAACTAAATTCATTAAAGCAAAAAATGTTTGTTTTAATGCAAACAGTGCCTCTTGTTTGTTTTTCAACAAACAAGAGGCACTGTTCTAAAACATAAATTAGATTCACACTAATAATAGTAAAAATAATAAGCAATGTTTTATAAGAATAAAATGAACAGTTTATTTTCTGAGATTTAAAATATTAAAAGCATTAATACAAAATACTATTATCACTTCAAATTTATGTTATGGTAGATTTTTTAAAATAATTTATTATGTTACTTGTAGATTATTATATAAGCTTTGAACGTATAATCATCGCCTAGTTTAATCTTAGAATATATAATATTTATTTTCTAGATTAGCAAGAGAATGTACAGAAGAATATGAAATATCTGAAATTGGCTTCAAAATACCAAAAAAGATGATTCTGATTGTTCCTGTCTATTCAATGCATCATGACGAAGAGTTTTATCCAAATCCGGAGAAATTTGATCCAGAAAGGTAATTCTCTCAATTTTTCATACACGACAACCTAAAAATTAATATAAAAAAATTCGATTTCAGATTTATGCCAGAGAATAAAAGTTCTATTCCTCCATACGCTTATCTTCCTTTCGGAGAAGGTCCGAGAAACTGTATTGGCATGAGATTTGCACTTATGGTGTTAAAGATGTGTTTAGTTCATATTTTGCATGATTTTCGAGTCCTTGCAACAAAAGAATCAAAGGTAATTTAAAGTAAATTTTTCTTTTAAAAAAATGCAATTTATATTAATTACAAAGCATAGTTAATTTCTATGTATAAATACTACATACTAATAAACTGCAGAAATCATTTATGAAAGTGTAGAAATATTTAGAAATCATTTCAAATACCAATCGATTAAACGTTCAGATAACAAAACATTTAGATGTAATATTAGTAGTGAGAACAATGGAAATTTTATATTTATATTAAAAATGTGTCGTGGGAAAAATTTGTAATGATATGATAGTTAGTTAATCAAACAAATGCAAAATTTGTTTCGAAAAATTTAATTATTTATATTAAAAAAATTAGAAAATCCAGTAAGATTAATTTTTAAAATTTATGGTTTTCTAAAACCACAAATTCCAGCATTTCACTTTTCAGTTTTCTTACATTTCATTGAAAGTTGCAAAAATAATTTTCTTTTCCAAAATTCTTACTACCAATGCGCTGCCATCAGTCAGTAAATAATGCTGGCTGTTAGCGATGTGAATAGTTATGAAAAAACGGACTATTTAAATAACAGTATATAGTATTTAATAACAGACTATGTAATATGCTTTTAAAATTAAAATACGCACATAAAATTTAATCAACAATACTAATTATAGGAATTGATAAAATTTATAATAATATAGATGAATGGATATTTATCGAGAGTCGTAGCAGTGACTCTCCGCCAAATAAAATATCACTGACTTACTATATACACAGGAATTAGAATTGCCGATTTTCGGGGATCAGTTTTTCTGCTGTAGTAAGTCTGATTATCTCGTTTTAAAGATACTTGTTTTCTTACGCAGTATGCAAAATTTCAGCTTTTTCTATGAAAGGATTGCCAAAATATAAGCAATTGAAAAGCGCAAAAATCGCTTAAAAAGCTGTATTTCCTCTTCTTTTCTTTATCTAGCATTGGTCTAAACAGCTCATATTTTAACCTTAAACATTTCTCGTTACGAGTGAGGTTTTGGCGAAACTTCTGTGTAGATAGGTCAAAGTTCACGGAGATTCCCCATAGAGCTGTTTTACTTTTATGGCTCACTTTTATGCTTATAAGGATAAAATTGCATCGAAAAGAATGATTTTCATTCAAAATGTAATCCAAAATAACAAAAACTCAAGTTTATGCAAATTAATACTTTTTATAACGTTTTATTAATGACGCGCCGTTAATAAAACAACTTCAACGTGTGATTCGAAATTTCAATGATGGTCCTTTCAACTCCACCTCTACCGGAAAGGACAGGACGTGCATCACCCAAAAAGTCTTTAGTCCTTGACGGATAAACAAAGTCAATCGACCCATGATCTAAATAATGAAAACAGTATTTGATCGTGGGCTTTTGTTTGGCATGTTCGGGCCTCTGCTGGTTTCGGGGCTCGATTCGGACGAACCACTTCGCGCCTTTATAGTTCTGTCTCTGATACAAACTATACATATCTTGTATATATTAGCGGATGAATGCGCCGGGCGCTTACAAGATAATAAATATTCTTTTACGTACATAATTAAACATTGATCATTTTTTCTACTTTGAGAAATTAATCTACTAGCAGAATAATATTGACATTTGTGGTTTAAAAATAATCAATTGAGTTAATATTAAAGAGTGCCATTGTTACTAATATCAATGAATGCTTTTATTCAAAAAATACATGAATAAAAATGAAAGAATATTATTTGATCACACGTAGATTCATGAATAAAGAGAAATTTAATTCCTAAATAAAATTTAAATTCGTAAGCATACAGTCTATCCCCCTATAAGACGGTAGATACGTTCCGTTCTTTATGAATCAATTTTGTAGGAATCACAGCCAATCACAGCCCGACACGTGTGCAGTTTACGGACTTACGGCTGTTTGGAAGGTTTTCTTCCATAAAATTAATCGATTCCAGACTAATCCGACTCAACATTTCCAAAATACGTATATTTTTTTCGGAAATAATCCGTATAAACTACGCTATAAATAAAAAATTGTAGGATTACTTACCGAGTGTGCACCATTCGACATCGCCATTGCTCAAGCTTGTTTTCGTCGCGGAACAGCTCAGCAAACCGCGGCCGATTTCTAATAACTTATTTTTCTGCGAATAGTTCCTTGAACTTCGGAGACATCATTAATATAAATAATTTTAATCGCCGTTGAATAAGAAATGTTTCTTTCACAAGAAATGTATAAAATTACAGTACTGTATTAGACTTACGGTACCTAATTTACATACTGTACAGACGATAGTTAGCCTAAACTCTCCGTAGCGTGGCGCTACGCGGCGGAAAATATATACAGTAGACCCCTCTATAATGCTTAGATACGTTCCACGCTAACCGAAAATTACGTTGTAGGAACGATTAAATACATGAGCCAATCGCAGCCCAATAGGTGTGAAGTTTAAGGCTGTTTGAAAGGTTTTCTTCTATAAAATTAACCGATTCTAGACTAATTCCACTCAACATTTCCAAAATACGTATAATTTTTTGGGAATAATCTGTATAAACTATGCTATAAACAAAAAATTATAGGATTACTTACCGAGTGTGTACCGTTCGACTACGCCGTTGCTTAAAGCTGGTTTTCATCGCGGAACAGCACACGAAACGACGGCCGCAATTTCTGATAACGAATTTTTGGCAGAAAAATAACTTGACCTTTGGAGACATCATTAATATAAATAATTTTTATGGACGTTGAATAAGAAGTGTTTCTTTCACAAGAAATGTATAAAATTAGTGCTGTATTAGACTTACGGTACCTAATTTACATACTGTACAGACGATAATAAACTCAACTTACTAGCCTAAAATCTCCGTAGCGTGTTGCCAGGCGGCAGAAAGTATATATATAATTATAATAAAGTTACAATAAATTAAGTTAATATATAATTATATATACAGTACCTAATTTATATATAATTATATGTACAGACGATACTAAACTCAATTTACCCGCCTAAACTGTCCGTAGCGTGGCGCTGAACGGCGGAAAGTAGTTCGGCTGCTCGATGACGTTTTACGTAATTATAGGAGCTTTTTACCGTTGTTTACGGATACCGCCACAATTTTTTCGCCCTCTTATAGGAATCGTAATTATAGGAACCCGTCTTATAGGGGGATCTACTGTATTTTCAAATGGATTAAACATGAATAAGCAAGAAGAAAATTATAGTAACCTAGATGACCACTATTTTTAAATATTATCTTTATTCTTCATCTTACGAATACAAATGTTATATATAATGAACGATTTAATATTAAAATTGGTTTGGCATCGATAAGTTTAATATATCAATGATAAAAGACTAATATTCGTTTTGTATTCCATGTGATGTTTTCGACGTTTTTATGATTCAAACTTTTTATTGTTCGCAATTATTTTTAAAAAACACTGAGCCATCGAACTTTTAACATAACAATGCTGACTTTGCCAAGTTTTCGTTTTTTTTTCTAATGTTTAATATGAAAAATAAACGCAGATTTATTGAATTTGATACAATTTTTATCAGATGTGCGTATATAGACGATTCCATATTCTCTGATACGTTTATTTTAAACATTTTATTAAATTTATTTTTATGAACCGATATTTGAAACTGTTATACTTTTCCTGCTTCTTTTTAAAACTCATTCCAAACATTTTATTAAATTTTTTTTTATGAACCGATATTTGAAACTGTTATACTTTTCCTGCTTCTTTTTAAAACTCATTCCAAAATTATTCTTTTCATATCTTCTAAAAACTTAAGCTCAAGGTGATGCCCGTGCACACAATTTTTAAAAGATGTAATTTTAAAAACAGTAACATATTAAGTAGATTAAAGAGGATCTTAACAGATACAAAATAAATGTAAGTTATATGCAATATATAATTTCATTAAATAACATTTTTGTTACAGCCTTTGGAATTTTACACCGGCCAAGGCCTTATTCAACCGAAGAAAGTTATGGTAAGATTTGAATCAAAACAACGATAATTTTTCAATAAAAAAGACAGAAAAGAAATTAATTTCATTCAAATTATGTGTAGAATGTAAAAATGATTTGACAAGATTTAAAAATACAGTAAACATGTATTGTTATTATATGTATTGTTACTAATACATATAAATTATTATATAATATTATAAAATTGGTATAGGTATATAGAAATATCAAATAGATTGAAATTGTTAATTGAATATTGAAATAGATTTAATAAATTTGCTTTTTGGCGAAATGAAGTTTTTAAATTTCGTTTATAAAATAAAAGCGTTCAATTGAAAAGTAGAGGTTTTTAATGTTTAAATTGAAATATTTGCAAAGAACAAAATTATAAAATATGTTTTAATACTTTTTAAGTAGATTTTAATATTTTTTTCTTAACTAATTTATAATGGCTTTAAATATTTATTACTTTACTACATTTTTTCTTGCGTAACAAATTTAAGTGCAGTTTTTGTAGAAATGTAACACTTTTAAATAGTTATATTTACCAAAACATTTTTGTAAAAATTGGTCATTTTGGGGTATAGAGTTATTGATTAAATTTACACAATAGCAGGATTTAAAAAAATAATTTATTTATTAATGATAGTATGACTATCTTTAGAAGAGATACATGCATTCATTTTGCAAGTAATCTCTGAAAGTTGCTGAAATTTGTAAACAAAACTCTCAAATAAGGTGTATAATCCTGAGGGATGATTAACACACCTCTTCAATATGAGATTGAAGTTGGTTTTTTTTAAACCCTTTTCGACCTGTAGACAATAAGAATACTGTGAGAACGAGGGGCTTTGAGCGACCGCTCACTGTACAGGATGACTATAATTGTAATGTTTGAAGAGACTGGAAGATCGCAAAATCTTCGTCTCAGTCAGGTCCTGACACAAGTTAGGATAAAGAATAATTGTGTTCTAACTAGCGATAAAAGGAGTGATTTAAACTTGATCCGATTGGCCAATCAAAGTGGATTGTTCGGGTGGTTGGGAGGGGATGTATGCTCGGAAATGGAGGTAGCTTGACTAATGGATAAAATAACTATTTATTTATCTAACTCTGGAGTAGGATACAAATAGATATCATAAGCTTGTAAAAAAATTTGCTAAATATAATATAAAATAATATAACTAAAATATACAAAACAACTGATCTACTCCTACTTAATATGATCTCTAATCCAAGTACAGAGAGAGAGCTTACATAATTGTTTTAGTTATCTGGGAACCTTTCATATCATTATACTGTAGAATGGAGACACCAAAGTAAAGGTGGGAACTACTGAATGGGTTAATGATCCCAAGCGGCTAATGATATGTTGTTCATGACAAAAAGCCTCGAAGAAAGTGATCTCGACCTTTTTATAGAAAATTTGAGAACCAAACGGATTTGTCCTTGATTCAGTCATTCTCTTCCTGTGAGTCAGGGGAAGTGCAAGTTCCCCTGACTCACAGGAAAGAGAGGTAATAACTTCGATAAATTTTCTCCGTTCTTATTTTTCAAGTTATAAATTATTCTTTTAAACCAAATTCTTTTATAAAACTGTTTTAATATTAAACTGTTCCCAACTCTTGATATACTCTCAGTTCTCACAGTACCTTCTTAATCATACCCATCGTGGGTTCAGCCAGGTTCACAGATGGAGCCACCGGGTGAAGAATAGGGTCGATCCCTAAAAAGTTCCTGGGGTTGCTCGTCTAAATTTGATTCCAGTTCCTTCAGAGCAGTCAGCTGACGGTTTAACCGTCTTGACCATCCGATTTAACGTTACCTCAGATTGGTAGCAGAGTAAATCAATCTTTAATGGCTTCACTTTAACATGACTCAGATAATTGAGGTAAGATCGGGGTTTAATAGGTCAGGAAAGAGTTCCCACATGTAGAGTAACTTTACAAATTCTTGCAATACGTGGACAAATATTGCCCAACTGGAAAGTTGTGATAAAATGCTGCTTTAAGTAGATTAGAACATAACACTGAACATTTTGTCAAGAATGATTACTATAAGTGACCTGAAAAACATTGGCTCAAACTAAAATTTCAGAAATGCTCGCTATACATCATTTAATGATAGAAAAAGAACGATTTTATCATTTATCACATCTCCATATACATTTCCTATGGTCATTTCCACGAAGAACAAATCGTTTCTCATTAGTACATTATTTTATTTTTTATTGCCACAGCTGTTTTTCTTTGTACTAATGTACACATTGTTCTGTTATTGGGTCAGTTTCTGAGAGAAAAACTCTGAGATGTTTTCTTATAGCTAACATTGAAAGTGTTCTATCGATGGTTACATTTGTAGCATCTCCTACTTGTTGTGTAGATCTTTCGTTTGAAACTGAGACACTTATCATGACGATTATATTGAAATAGTCAATCTCGTAGCATCTGAGTCAGGTCTGCACGTAGGCTATGTATACAGGTATACTTCGACTTACGTCGTTTCGAGTTACGTCGTTCCCGATTATACGTCGTTTGTCAAAAAAGTATATGGAAAAATAAAAATCAAGTTTAAGTCATTTTACTCGACTTTACGTCTGTCCGCCACAAATATTGAAGTCGTAATATCACTAGAAAACGTTTAAAGCACACAAAATCATATTAAAATATATACATATACAAGTATGTACTGTATTTACAGTACCACACCAGGGAAATCAACGATTACAGCCTTATCTACAATTACTGATCACATCAAACGTGCCAAAGTGGACGGCAGGCATACGCTACTTGTTTCCATCGACTTCCGTGGTGCGTTCGATAACCTCTGGTGGCCGGCTATTCTTCAGCAACTCCAAATTCATCACTGCCCAAGGAACCTTTTCTGCCTCATAAGGAGTTTCATCAGTGAAAGGAAAGCAGGATTCTTTCACAATAACATCAGCTACATCCATGAGGTTACTAAGGGTTGCCCACAGGGTTCTATCGCCAGGCCCGGATTTTGAACAATTGTCCACAGTGATCTCCTTGCAAGCATAAACAACAAAAACACGATTAATAACTATTTCTTACAAGGCTATGCTGATGACACCGTGGCTGTGGTCTCGGACAAAAACAGCGATAGACTCCCAATCCTGATCAATGACCTGCTAGCCAAGATCTCGAACTGGAGTTCGAGCAGTAAGCTTCCTATTAACCACTCGAAGTGCTCATTCATCATCTTTTCAAAGAATACCCCACTTCAGGACCCCGCACATCGAAATTGACAGTGTCCGCATCTCCTGGGTAAAAGAACTAACTTACCTTGGCATGAAACTTGATAAATAGCTCCAGTGGACCAGCCACGTGGATATGGTGGTTGCCAAAGCAACTAAGGCATCGAACGCACTCATCAGCATTGCTCGCAATACCTGGGGCATAGGCCATAATGCAGCCAAGAATATCTACCTAGGGGCTATAGTACCTATCCTTTACGCATCACCCATCTGGGCCGATGCCACCACCAAAGTTCACATACAACGCAAACTCCTTAAAGCCCAAAGAGTGGCTGCTCTCCGTATTTGTAGAGCCTACCAGACTGCTCCCACTGCTGCCCTACTGGTGATTGCTGGAATCACCCCAGTTCACATCAAAGCCACAATGACTCTCAGAAACTGGAACGCCAGTTTCTGAGAGTCATTGTGTGAGAGTCTTCAGTAACTGCCATCCTCTGAACAATGATAAAAACAAAAGTATTCTTTCTGGCCTCCCTACCCACCTAAAAGAAGACATACTTTCTTTTGGAATTGAACTGAAAGTCATTCATCTTAACATTCTCCAAGACTACCCGATCATAAACAGTGACTCCCAGACATCCAATGAATCTGACTTCTCCATCTACACGGACGGAAGCAAGGACGACATCAACGTGGGGGCGGCATTTGTTCTATATGACCACCATAATGGTAACATCCATCGGTCAGCCTACAAACTAGGGCCTTATTGCTCTGTTCCACTAGCCGAGGTTCTTGCCATAGTCAAAGCCCTTGATCATGTTTACGCAGACTGGTTCCCTCCAAATAAAATCATCACCATCTACTCTGACAGCATCACGGCGATCCATTCTATCAAGAACCTTAAGCAAAGAGGTGCCAACGTTCTGCATATCCATTATTTGCTCTCCACCAATAAGCACAAGCACAACATTTCCTTCAATTGGGCGCATGGGGACTCTGTGGTCACTGGGAACGAGGCTGCCGACCATCTGGCGAAGACTGCTGCTACCTCTTCGCTCCCTTCCACCTACAACAGAATCCCAAAATCAAACAATGGAACCGTCATCTTGCCCTTCAAGAATGGCAAAGTGAATGGGACTGCGGGGACACGGACAGGTGACCCACAACTACATCCCCAATATCTCACGTCGTCTAGAGTGGAAGCACTTCACGCCTTCCTTTGTCATGACCCAGTTACTTACGGGTCATGGCAACTTCAACGCAAACCTCAATCGTTTCCGCCTAAGGGAATCTGGTGTCTGTCACTGCGACAATACCACAATACAAGACAGTAATCATTATCTCTTGGACTGCAGCTTCTTCGATCACCAAAGAGACAATCTCATCGGATGTGTTCTGTATGCAGGCTTCAACTGGCCTTGTTCTCCTGAAACTCTGTTCGAAAACAAGGATATCAACAATAGTCTCAAAAAATATCTCACATCAACGGCAGCGCTCTGTCCTCAGCGCAACCCTCACACAACCAACAACGACGAACCATCTACATCGCAATGAACTATGCCACAACAGGTTTCCTCCCGTCTTCAAGTGTGTGCATCAGCGGTACACAACTCTTTGCTCTGTTTGAGCGGACTTAACCCAACGAACTCCTCACTCTACTGTTTGTGGAATTTTCCTCTTGGTATACGGCATCATTTGTATTATTGTCACCGCGCGCTCTTGTTGAGGTCTATGCTCTCCTCGTCTCTTCAACCCTTTTCTGTATAACTGTTAATGTCGGTTTATATATATATTTTTTGTACTGTACATACTTTGCTACATAAGGATAACATTGTCGCGCCAACAATTTTGTAAATTTCTACATTGTGTTGTTTTACCGTTACACTGTTTAAAGTATCTGTTTTGTATTTTGTTTTTCTAAATAAATGCGATGCAGGCTCATTATTTCCCACCTTTTCCTGCCCCAATTTCATCCCCTACTCTTCGCAACTCTTCTCCTACCTTCCGTTCTTTCCTACCTTCTTGGTTATACCTACGAGTGGTACCAGAAGGCCCCCTCTTTCAATTTTTAACCTGTATTTATAGTACATGCATTCGTAAATTTAGATTACTTTTTTCTGTACTATATTAAAAACTAAAATTTATTTGTTTGTAAGCTTAAAATGGATCATTATTAACCATATATTATTAAAAATGCATTAATAAATAAAATACGGAACCGGGAATGGTAATTTATGGTTTAGCCTAGTGACAAGTAGATTCGGAGACAAGTAAATTTGACTTACGTCGCCTCTCCTGGAACCAATTACCGACTTAATACGAGGTATACCTGTATTCTTATTTATCTACTGGTTTCATATTCAACACATGCAGATGGATTCCAATCAACTACGCCAGTAATATTTCTGGTCGATAAATTATCATTACAGAGACCTATAATCTGTCCTTAGTTTTTCCGACTGTTACGTATAACACAGTGAAATTATGGCAATCGGTCAAAATATGACCCTCAAGATTTTACAACATTTGGAGTCAGGGAACGTTGAAATGTAGAGAAATGCAAAAATATTTGGGGTTTTTTCCTGTATATATGGATGTTGGTGTGTGTATATGGGGACACGATATTGTAAATAATACCAATTTAATAGACGAGCTTAATAAATTTGTGCTTTTTGTCAAAAAATTTCTAAAATTTTTGAGTGAGGTTTGTGTATTAATTGGGGCCTCCTGTCCCTAAGGTTTCTATATCTGGTCTCGGATTTTATCTAACTCCGTTCTAGAGATTAAGACAGGCGGACGGACGACAGTGTGAATTTATAAGTCAATTTATAGGTACAATATTTAGAAATTGCACCTATCGGTCACGGGTCGACACGAACTAACGGATTGGAATGTTTAGAATGTCAATCGGAAAAATCCAGCTTTGACTCTGACTCTCGTAGACATGACAAAATTTGCAAATAAATATATCATAAATATGAAAGTAAAATTGTTTCGTTGTAAGTAATGAAGACATAAAGAAAAATTCTTAGCCGTCAGAAAAGAAAATATCATCACATGAGATACCCGCGAAAGTTTCAAAGTTGGATCAACACTTGCAGACGATGTCGAACGGAAGTATCAATTAACCAATCAAATGAAGAATCTGGGGAGAGATTCTTTAAAAAGCCAGGAAATTCAAGGAGAAAGGATGGTGGCTCCTCCCTGGCTCAATCTGTTTATCCTACGTGTCGGTTTCCCTGTTGTCTCGGACTTCATTTTCGTTCCGTCGTATTACAAAATCTTTTCGGTTATTTTTAATATTAACTATATCCAGTTTGATGTCGCATTAATACGCGAAACGTGCAACCCCAACGGCGACCAAGATATCTTTCCGAAAAGCGAAATAATGTTGGATAAAATAAATCGAAATATTAAGAATTTGATTTATCTCATTCGATGGCCGAAAATAGACGAAAAAAGTGGGGTGTCGGGACACGGCCGTGTGTTTTACGTGAATACGTGTACAGTACGTATTCATGTAAAACACATGGCCATACATCAAGCGTAAAAACGCTTACAATTTTCAATGCGTATATTAGCATTATCATATTGAAGTTGTTGTTGTGATTACGACCATAATATAATACTATCAAAATTAGATTTTATTTCGCATAAAATATTTCTGAGCTGTTTTCTTCGAAATATAATTGTGTACTATCAAAGACTGTACACGAAAATTGTGGGATATATTTTATTCTAATAAAACTAACAAAACTATAAATCGGTATGCTTTTATGAAAAGCTTGGGAAGAGCAAAAGCTGTTTTTAAAAGAAAGGGACAGTTGCCTTTAAAACATTTGCGAACCATTGGTTTAAATTTCAGAATTATTTTTAAAAAGTATTGTTAAGAATTATAAAAAAGGTAGAATAGCATTGATGGGAATAGGCAGGGCAACACAAGGACGATCTGCTAAGGAGGGATGCCTTCTAGAGAGAATATCTCAAGGAAATTGACCCTATTTAGATGATAAACACATGAAGAAAACATGAAAAATTGCACATGATCAACCTGCTTGTGAGGCACAAACCTGCGATCAATTAATTAACAGTGATTCGTTCGGCCACCAGCGGACCTCTTTTAAAAAGTTTAAAAAATATAATGTACAGTACAGTACTAGCTTGATTTAATTGAATGAATAGTCAACATCTCCTGTATATTAATTAAATTATTATAAATAGTAGCATTTAAGGTACGAAGAATGTTTGCGTTAATTCAATTTAACGTACAGTACGTATAGTTGAAAATTACGTAAAATTATATATATAAAAATATTCTAAAAAGAATCGATGGAGTCAGATAATCTATTTTTTTATTATTATTACCGTACTGTACTAATCTTTAGTACACGGAAAACTACTAGTTTTCCATTCGTTTCTGACCTTTGGAGGCTTAATAAGTCCCGAGTCCGTAGACTGGTATAAAAAATTAAAAAAGGTAAACAGGTTAACAAAGAAAATATAATTTTATTTCTATATAAATATATACTTCACCCCAAATGCATTTCGCCTGTCAAGGCCTCTTCAGTAGGGTTTCTGATGACTAGAGTGTACAATAGGAACAGCAGAAGGTATCTCAGACGACACATTTTTTTCCGTCGTAGACACAGAAGAAGACACATCTTTCTCACTGACACCATCGCGTTTACAATCTTTAAGAAACACAAACTCTTCCCAGCATTCCGCTGGTATCACCCCATTATTCAAATTCATTACATTACTTTGCATAATTATCGCGAAATGTTCTTTAAATTTTCTTTTTACAATATTTTTCTCTTTATGTATTATTTTTACATTATTAATATCTAATTGACAGTT